CGTCGACTTCATTTCGGAACCTCAAGCGGTAGAACCTCCATCGGCTGGAAGTGAAACAGGAATGTGTACAGCTCTTGTATCCAGGGTGCTGAAACTCTATTTCATCGAACTAGCTTCACTCTTGTAACTCAGTTGGTCCGTTCAGTGGAGATTAAGGGATGCTGGTTACACATTCCTTGACCTGGAACTTCATATGGTAGCCGACAGGAACGTGAAGTCGGATTAGCAGTGGCCGATCATATGAATGGAATAGCATGAACCGAACTGCATGAGTATGAAGAGAAAAATATCTGGAAGGTTTCTCGCCGGTTTTGTTATTGTGTGCGCTCTCACGCTGTCTCATCCAGAAGCTGAGCAATAATCCTCCTGGCAGATGTCAACTGCCGTTGCATCCATTTGATTGACCGTTCGTCTAATCCTCATGGGTGATTCTATTTGTAGGATAGAATACATCGATGCTGCTTGGTTCTTTGAGCGAAAATATTGAAGCCGGCTATGTAGACTGGCTTTCGAGGTTCGAAAACAGACTTCGAGGTGTTTAGGGTTGTTAGTGAAATCGGGCGCACAGAAGCCGCAGCTGACCGATTCATGGCGAACAAAGTGGTCAGTTTTAGTGGTGAGACCTGCAGAGAGTATGTGAATCGGGTTGGGGTAGGAAAGACGAGGAAATGTGTGAAAGTAAGGCGTCCCAACTAATTGGCACGCTCCTATTAAGTGTCATGGAATTTCTCGTTGTCTTATATATAACCACACCTGTCTCCAATGATATTTGTTCCCTGTTTAGGCCTCTGCATATCCAGTTGGATTGGGATGTGGATTCTGATAAGTTAAGGCAGTTGGAATTGTCATTGAATTCGGACTTTGGCGTCACTCCCTGGATACAAAGAATTTTCCTTTACCTTTTTGATGAACCAAGAGTTAGAGTCATGAATTTTAGTATCTTAGCTTAGATCTCCTGTTAAATGTGTGGACCACTATGTACCCGTGGCCGCGTGCCAAATGTGTGCATACGACTGGCCGTCGTCAGTTCGTCTAATACTCCCGCGAAGATCGACTTTGGAAGTCCTGTACATCATTACTCCATAAAACAACCTCGGAAGGGAAGTTTCCAACTTCCTTGAATCTTCCTCTGGGTACTCCTCACTTTAGAAACTAATCATCACAAGTGTGTTAGGTCTGTTTGATTGTTTTTGGTAACATGTTAACCACGCCTTACTTTGGTTGCCCTTTTTTTCTGTACATCCAAGGCCATTTTGATCAACTCTCATACTTTCAAAGCGCTTTCAAGCGTGTTGTCTCAAAATTAGTATGAACTGCAAATATGATACCGTTTTCTAGTTGTATTTCGCTTCCCCACTGAATCCTGTTTTTCTTCTGCTTGCTTGGTTACCTATATCACGTAGGAGCTTTCAGCAGCCGGCTTTTTCGAACAAACGAAGCCTTGTCATCAATCTTGGATGGGCGACTTATCTCTTGCGATGGTTTCTCGCCCGTGTCTACGTGACATTTTCCGACTGGTCAGAAGTCGCCACGGTCGTTGACTCTCTCTTACCCAATATGCTGATGTTCTTGACGGAGCTGAATATCGTAACAAAGATTCCTTCTGGGCAAACTGACTCAACCAAACGCAGCGCGCCACCAAAATCTCGCTATCCCCAGGACGTATCACAAGTTCGTTACATAACCATCCACCATTTTCAGTCTTTTGTAACTTTGGTGTTTCAGTGCACATGCCCTATTGTAATTTTTCGGTTCCTGTTTTCTTCCCTTCTGCGTAATCCCTTTCGCATCACTGCATGTACTCAATCGAGTCTTAACTCCCGAAGAGTAGTCACTGCCTCAGACCGTACACACACGACCATCCGCAAAATTGTCTTGAAGCTTGACAACGCTAAGTATGTACACTTCATACTCGTCTAAAGCCGTTCATGGTGTTCGTTGATGGTAGGCTAAACGGTGCGGATGAAGAATAGACCCACCGCTTTACTGGTTTCACAAGAAAATCCTGAGTTCCGCCATAAGGAAGCCTCTCCGTTCTCAAGCAAATCTCGGGTAAGCACAAAACCCTTACCTGTTATCACTGATACTCGAAAATCGAAAAGTGTCTAAAGATATTTCAACCAGATGCGTGAAGATGCCCTCCCCCGAGTATATTGCTGAGTATATGTGCTGACATCTGACCTGGATGTACACTGTTACGGTAACGATAAAAGCAGTTAATAAGTCAGTCGTTCAGTGCAACTAGTCAGATGAGCGAACGACGCATGGGTTTAAATGTGGGCGTAATTCTAACTCAGGTAGTAATCCATGTTGACTGGTTCGTTGTGTGACACCCCCGCTCGTTGGATCCGAAAATGTGTCGCGTTTGCCTTCCGGCTCTGCTGCACACTGTACTGTGGTGTATGTATATTCATTCGACTGCACCCAAAATCATATCGCGATGCATCCCGACGGAAAAACTTCCAAGCGAGTCTTTATTCGAATCCACTATTTCTCTGTGGCTACTTTCGGTCGCGCTCCCTTCTTCTTCTTCGGTTCGCTCACCGTGGATACCGATACAGAGTGAATTGACGTAATATATTGCTCATAAAGTTGTTGGAACCTCGTCGACAGTTCACAACCGCCTTCGCCCTTCTCAGCTAGGCACAGCCACAGAGCTTCCGTTACCCTGTAGTTCTACTTGCTAAGAACACTTGACTTGGTCTGATGAAGCTTTTGTGTCGAAAGCGAAACGTTGCCCAAATAAAAACTTCCGATTGTTTAGCGAACTCTTCTGAAACTTTAAATTACCTTTTGGAGTGAGGCAGGCTCTACCATTACCAGCTTGAACTTCATCAGTTTACTAGAGGCTCGTCACCATGCGAACGCGGCAATCGCTTTCAGACGTGCCAGGTATCATCAAGTTGTTGACGTCTATTGGAATAATCGCTCTGACCACCATATAGTAAATCGCGATAAGGTTTCATCACTCAGACTGGTGTTCAAATGTGATTCGCACAGGCACCAGTGCACACGTGGTCAGCTAGTCAACTGATAGAACCACGTGACTCTCGTATGATGTGATGGTATTTTTAACAAGATACAACCTGAGTTTGGACAGTTGAGTTCCATCCTGATTCAGATTGCGTTGTATTTTGTCTTTTTAATATTGTGTCCGAGTGTGACCAAAAGCAGTCACAAAGTTACCCTCTATCGTTCCAGTTCTACCCTCCGTCGTTCTAGTTTATGGTTTCGTCCGCGTATCAGTCTTTTTGAAATCATGTCCTATTGAGTGTGATTTCCGTTTTTGGTGACTGGTGATCGATGCTCTGACTTATTAAAACTCAACGTTACGGCATACATTGCACCAATATTTTCAATTTCATCTGATGGAAGTCCATTGGAACGTGATGCTGTGATAGCGCCAGGCCTTTAAAATTGTAGTTCTCGTTAAAAACTCGAGTTTATGTTTTCCAGACACCCCTGAATGGATTTTCACGTGCCTTCAGCCTTTCGCTAACCAGACACAACCAATCATTCACGTCTGAACTTGTCTTGTTCATATAGATTGGTTGTTCGCACAGGGTCGGTTCGCATCCCGACGGAAAAACTTCCAAACGAGTCTTTATTCGAATCCACTATTTCTCTGTGGCTACTTTCGGTCGCGCTCCCTTCTTCCTGGTGGGCCGGTTCGCTCACGGTTCGCTCACTCGGTATCCATGCGGCCCTATGGAGGTGGTTCGTTCAGATGTCTGCATCCTTAGCACAATAGGGTCAACGCTGGCAACTGTTGATCACGAAACGAGAGGTGAAACCGATTGACGATAACCAGTACAGACACCTTTATCGATCTTCGCCGTATGCGGATCATTTTGGCCACCAGTCTTCCGCTTATGTGACATCTTAGTACGGAGTTGATACACATTAGCTAACTTCTCGTCAAAAGCATTTCAGTCGTAACCTCCCTTTCTACAAGACGGAACACTGTGCTGCTTATAGTGTCTTTGTACACGGTCGTGGAACGCACGTATGATTCTCAGTGTTGATATGGAGTACAAGAAATTCTGCCAGACTGTGTGTTCAAGTTAGTAGGCAGGGCTCCGTGGTTCAACGAGTTCTTCGTAAGCTGAAATGTCTTCGCAAGTATTCTGTAATGCAAAGTTCGCTGTTTTGGATGTCATAGACTGGATCGATGCAGTACGGGGAAACGTTTTGACAACTGAGGCGCGTTTCTCTCGCGATGGACTCGCGAACTGTTGTGCCACCAAGGAAGCTTAAGATTCAAATAGTGGCGCCGAGTAAGTCCTGTCTTTTCTGGACTTTTACAGAGTTCGTCTAAAACTTATCAAAACAGGGAGTTTCACAGCAATCACATGTGGCCTTGTGAGAATACCAGAATGGATGTAAGTGGCCAGGGAAGTGTTCGCCACCGAAGTAACATTAACTTATGAGATCTGTCTTTTTCGTGGAAAGGCTGCTCTGTTGAAGCTTCCAGTGTCTCAAGGTACACAGCGTATGGACATTGTGTCCGTTTTACTCGGCTGATTTAGAAAAGATGGTCTTGTTTACAAGTTCACGTCATCTCGCAATTGAGTTGTCTGTTCCGCGCTTCTTATCCGACCTGTTCGATTCCCCAAGCTCTGTATGTCGCCATCTCGGTCGCTTGGATGTATGTAAGAGTTGGTGAGAACACAAATGCTCGTTATATCGGAAATATTGCTTGAAAGCAAGTTACTGGGTACTGTTGGGATGTGCATTCTGCTCCAACCCATGTCAGATTCATTAAGAACCTGAGTGCTTACGGATACCTCGGCAGTCGGTCTTGTTATATCCAGCCGAACAGGCCAAATCAAGATGGAGCGCGTAACTTACTGCGTTTTCCTTCAAAGTATTGAGCATATGTGCATTTCAGTTAATGGATATCTCTCAGCGATAATTTATCTGTATGTAACAGTCAGACGCAGCAAAAATAACATTTTTTACCCATTCAATGGGTAGAAAGTTTCACAGTAAGTTCATAGGGACCGCCAATTTTCACTGACAAAGAGATTACCATCGAGTTCCATTATCGACTAACGGTTGTCATTTTCTTTTCCCAGGTGTTCTCTCTCCTGCAGGATTCCGCGGAAACCGAAACATTAGAATCGAAGGACTCACTGTCTCCCTCGGTCAACATCACTCTCCGTCAGATTCACTTCGCCAAACCTAGTCGCTGTACATGTAATCAGCCGTCCAGTCAATCATCGAATGTTGTGTCAAGGACGTTTACGGGGGCACCTCAGGCTCCTTTCGCCTTGATTTACGTTCGGCCGTTCTCTTTTACCGAACCAATTCCTGAACTTTGTCGTTCTTGCTCTGGTCGTCCTATGCTTCCGCCTGAAGATATTGTTGTGTTCGATGAGCTCTTCTCTATGTGGCGTTGGCTTCTGGTCTTTACACACCACCATTCAAATCCGTCTGCACCTAAAAAGCACAGCCTCAGTCTGCTCTCACTTTCGACGCTGCTACGGTATCTGTTCCAGGAATGGGGTCACATCATCACACGAATAGAGTTCCAGAACGAAGCAACCACGTGGAAGCAACTCCGCGGGTTGCATAACTATTTTGGGGTTTTTGCTGCTGCTCTTCTCCTCATCTACGACGATGATGTCCGCTCATCGACTGATAATGTAAGCATCTTTTGCTTTACTTTGCCTCGAAAAAGAACTTAGTTCACCAGAGGACGTGTGAAATTTGGGTATAAACTGTTAGCCAAGAAGTTCGCACGGGCCGTTCAACTATTAGAATAAAATGAAGGTGAAAACGAGTTCGAGTGAGATTGAAACGGACTTGTTGTTCTTTATATTACGTGGCCTCCTCATAAATGGCTTTCTTCGATTCCATCATTTCGCTTAGTGTGTACTTACGGAGTATCCTCTAGATGAACAACTGATTTCATCGATTGAAGTAACAGGGGATACTCTGCACTCATAGTGTTCGGTTACGACACACTTGATATTTGTCGCTGCTCTAATGTGAACTGGGAGTCTGAAGTGGGATACTATTTGAACTCGTCGGTCGCCTAGCAAGCTTTAGGTGTGTTTCACAGTGACATTATCAGACAATACAAACTTCCGAACCCAATAGAGCTTCAAAATAGTTGCGTGCAGTTGGCGCGTTTACTCGCCATATTCAATCATCCCATTCGTTTGCACCGCAAAGCCAACTGCCGGTTGTTGGACAGTGCAGTTAGTCTTCACGCCATGAAGGCCTACTGTAGCCTAGGCTAGAATGAACCAATAAAACGTATGAAGTACTCTTTTCGGTTGGGTACGAGAACCGTGGTTGGCTCATTTAATTACCAACAGCCTTTTTCAGTGAGGGGACTCTGTGGCATATATGACCATGTGTCTCTTCAACTCGTGTGAACGTACATGTGCATTCCAATCTTGCTGTCTGTAAGCGCAGCAGAAACTTATACGCATGCTACCGTCTACCTACGCATGCTACCGTCTACTGTCAATTCTAACCGTAAGACACTCTAGCAACTTACTCGAAAAACTCACGCTGATACACTGTTCGACAAAGAAATTCGCACCCTTCCGCAACATTACCGTCATAGTTGATTAATTTTGAACATTAAATGACAAACCTTGTTCGAAAGTAGTCGAGACTCAACTTTTCTGAACAAAATTCAAGTTACTGTTTCTTTTTCTCTAACTTGTGAGGTGTTCCCTGTGATGGCCTACAAAATAAAGGAAACTGCAAGGAATCTATCGCTAACAGGATTTTCGTCACGTTTACCTGCAGCCAGTCGATAGCTAGATTTTTACACCACCATCAGTTTAGAAACATGGGCCAGCTCAGTGGCGAAGGGTCGCACCTTCAAAAGAGCAATCTTTTGAGTGTTACTCTGGCCTTAGTAATTGAGCCCTATTCCCGGGCTGCACATCACTTACAGATGCCGGCTTTAGTAGAAATGCTGCTACGTAGGGCGAAGTGTACCCGGGCGTTTACCGTCCTCACTATTTGATCGAATGAAAGAATGTAGTGTTACTAATTGTGTGGTATTTTTAGAATAAATTTATGTATGGATAGCAGTCTGCACATTCCTGTCCAGCGTCACTCGTATTTCCCCTTCTTGTTGGGGATAAAGAGGCTGCTCTCATTTGAACAGTCGTCCTCCAGTCCTGGCGCACTTATTCAGGAGAGTGACCACCAAAAGAGGGAAGCACTGGAGTCGAGTTTTGCTGTCATTAGTGCTCATTAACAGTGCATATCCCTGGTCGTATCGTAGTTTGGACTAATTGCCATGCTCAGTGAGCAGATCGACAGCTGACGTTCCAAACTTTCCAACATCTGATACTCAATAGATCGTGGTCTTAGCGCTTTTACAAGTGGTAGTTATACATCCAGAGTCATTGGTCATTAGGAAATAATCCATTGAGTGTTTCGTCCTGTTTTGGTCGTACCAGAACTTGGCAAAATTCGGTCGCCTGATATTTGCAATTCACATAGCTGTAAGGGAAGAAGTAAACCTTTTTTCATAGAGGAAACTACTCACAAGGTTGCTGAAAACTCTTCGACACATGAGGCGGCCTGTGTGCAGCACTTTCAGTTGTAGAATATCATAAACGAGAGATTCAGCTGAGTCTCTCGTGAAAACCAAATTGATTTGCAAACGAGTGTGTTTCTCAAAGAATTAAACCGTTCTCGGTGGTCCTACCCCAAACTTGAGGCAGATTTTTCCTTAGACAATGCATGTGACCCCTAGAGACCGTGGTGACAACATATCCACACTTAGTAGCTATCCAAATCATGTGCCGTGGGTCCGCCTTATTGGTAAAGTGACAAATTAGCCTTCAATCAGTGCCTAGTGATTCTCCAGAAACCTAGTTACTGGCTGGATTCATGGATTTGTGGTAAAAACCCTAGTGTTGTCAGATTCCATACATTTCCTGGCTGTAGCTTTTCGAAATATTTTGGATGTGGACCACTTCTAACGCAAAGCTCCACAAGCCGTCGTAAAGTAGTAGGTCTTCGTTAGATTTTTGCCCAAGAGCCTCAAATCCTCTACGTAACGTTCGATGATTCCCACAACAAAGTGGTATCAATTTGTTGCAAAAAAGTTTTGCGGTCAGGATCGACTACGGTCAGTCTTCTCAGGTTGGGGGTGAGATGGCTCAAATGGTTAGAGCGTGAATTTACTGGCCGGAAGGCCCGTGGTTCGAACCCGACTTCTGCCTCTCGACTTCCCCTGTCTAGGCTTGGGCGACCTGGCAGTATCTCAGCCCTCGTGCTTCCTTCGAGTTGCATGGCAGCTAGGTACCGAAAGGGTGCTACAGCTGAACGATTTTTTTTCAGGCTAGAATGTTTTACAACTCTGATCTCAGGTAGCCGGTATGTCATCTAGAAGTTCACTGAAACCCTTGCGGCAATCCTTTTTCTATGTGTTTTACAGTTATCCATATTCTAACCCACCAACGACGTATTTTCATGCAGATCTCCCTAAATTCAGTCCCTCTGTGTCGACATAAAACTAGTCGTGGCCTTTGTGCAAGTCCTCAATTGAAGCCTGAGTTGGCCAGATTGGTACCAAGGTACAATACCTCCATCATCAGAGGTACAGTTTTCTCATAGTTATACATCTAGGTTGCGCGTCTGTGTTAAGTTTCGAAGATTGGTAGACATTCGAAAACAAAAAATCTTGTTATTCTTTATTCTGAACTGTCCTGAAGTGTCCCATTTGTTTAATGTAGCCCGCTGTCATTCATCACATCTAATCCTGCAAGGCTTCCCTTCCACACTTCCAGCCTCATTCGTCACCTCTGGCTCTTGTTGAAGACTTGGCGTCAACCATTTCCTCACGATCGGACAACGATGGAAATTGTAAGCGGACACGAGTCATTGAGGAAAATGTGCGGACCGATCCGGAACAGACAAATCTATGGGCGCTGCTCATTCGCCTGGTTTCTTCTGCCGACAAAGGGGGCTCTTTTTGGTAGGAATATGTACATTATTTATAGTTTGTACTGTTTTATCTTCTTAGTAGTTTGAGGGCATTTGGGAGTTTATAATGTAGATCCTTTCTTTGAGTGAAGTCGGAAAGCCAAAAAGCACCGCCCACCTATTTCATGCATACGTGGAATCACCAGCAGTGTGTTTCTCACGAAGCTCCAAGAAGTTTCGAATCCACGACCTCCCGGTTAGCACTCTGAACACTCAACCGTTCGGCCACGAGCGGCTGGTGTGATTAGCCCGCACCTAGGATGTAGGGCCACACATCCTTCAATCACGGGATCCGCATCACGTGGTCTCACGCGTTGACTGGCTCCTTGACTAATGACTTCTCTTTTATCTCCTTGCTTTCAAAGAGCTGACTTGTTATTTATCACGGATTCAAGAACGGAACGCCCGGGGCCCCTCTCTTACTATGGTGTGTGCGGTTCCAAAATAAGGAAGCCTAGACCGTATGGTGCATGCCCTACTGTTATATCTGCTGATTCGTCAATCTCTGGTATCTGCTGTGACCCGCTCCCAGTGCCTAATGCCGGAGAAAAAAGACTCACAGAAGGGAACACAACCGCTATTTTCCGAACAAGCGAGTGCGAGAGCGTGAGTGCGTGCGAGTGCGAGAGCAAAAGTTAAAAGCAAAAGTTAAAACGGCCCCACGCTACTTGAAGGGGACTTTCTGACATTGATCCGGGCTATCTGATAGGTGTTAATGAACACCCGTCAACACCCGTCGGTCGTGCTTCTGTGGCGTGGATGAACACTCATCAGGTGTTGGTGAATTGATTAAATGATTGACTGGCCTGGATGCTTTCCGGCTTTCCGGTTGGGATTTTGGTGGAGCAGTAGGTTCCGGGCGTTCTGAAGTTGCTTTCAGGAATCTGACCTTCCTGATACCTACTACCTCATCTTTTGTGACTTCTCTTCACCAAATTTGTGTAACGCCTCTACATGTAGAAACTGGTAGGCCTTTGCAATATGCTTATGTCATTAAACAATGCTCACGATAGGCGTTCGCAGTAGTAGACGAGAACAAATTCCCATAAATGGCTTAGTTAAGTAATCTGGTTAGCAACTGGAGTCGGTGGCTTTTATGACTATCGGTCAGCCTAAAACATTCGCCAAGGTATGCAGGGGACAAATTGCTATGGACCATCACTTGAATTCACGATTTTTGCCGAGGGTTAATCAACATTGCGAGTGACTTTTTGTATCCACATAACGTTCGTTCAAACGGTCATTCTCCTCCCATCATTATGATCCTCGTTATTCCACCTCAGAGGTGGTAAATGCTAGAATGGAGTTGCGCTCTTGTTATAGCTCATCGGTCATGCGGGGCTCTAGACTTCGGCCACCTGAGATGTTTCGCGACTTACCCATCGATGCACGCTGACGCACTTAAACTATTACCTCTAAAAGAGCGACCATTGTCGTTACCTTGTAATTTTGTGACGCTTTGTTTAGTTTTTTGACCCCGCGAGCTACACTGGATAATACCCATACAACATCCACAGAGTTTCTCTTGCATTGTTTGTACATTCTGACTCACTATTACTTGTCGAATTACGACGTCGCCCGTAACCTACAGCCCTCTGTAGGTATCTTTTTCACCGATCCCATCAGTGGTCGCTGTAGGGGAACTTTGTCGTAGAATCCATTCTGTGTTTTTTAGGTGGCTCGTACTAGACTGGGCTGTTCGACTCAGGTGGCAATACTGCGTGGCTCGGGAGCAGTCAAACCATTCCATTCTGGCGACGTTATCAGACCTACTCGAAAGGATACCATCCTGTTTTGGACTTGCAAAGACGTAAGTTGTTTCGCTTATCGTGACCAGATAGTCAACAGTATAACCAATAATATTTTGGTTTATATTCCAATCTGGATATATAAGGCTTTACTAATAACTAAATATAGCTTACGAGGTAAGCGGCTTCTCCACTCGATCGTATATGCTGATAGAACTCCAGTCACTACGAACGGTGGGATATAGAATCAGGTAAAAAGTCGCCCACATAGGCTGCTCATTAATCCACCACTAAGGTTGGATACATCGACAGAGCTGTTCAACCAAACAGCCACATTTTATGACTGAGGCTGATATGTAAAGGGCCATTAGAGCAAGGTGTGATTCAACTATGTTGGACCTCATTAGTGTGTGTTCGGATGTCTTTGACCCTAAGCCGGCCCTTTCTCCATCGCCCCTCATTTACCCACGGAGGTCTGTTGTTCTGTGGCGTCGCTCATATCCTTTGTTCTGAAAACACGCCACGGTATATCTGCCCCACCCTAATGTGTATGTATGGACGTTTTGATAGTCAGACCTCCGAGTGCACTCACCAAGATTCAATTCTGAATAAAGCATCATTTGTTTATTCTAGTACTTGACTGAAAGCAAGGTGCTGCGGGAAAGTGAACAGTTAGAATCAGCCCTCTTAATACGTATGACGCTCAATGTTAAGATCACATGATCAGTTTTGACCAGTCTCTTCATTGGTCCTACCAGTGACCGACTAATTTTTTAGCGTTAATCCTCACCAAAATATCCTCCTCGGTCCCATGAGTCATCCAGCGGACACAGTGTTACACTTAATTCTTTTGTCCGGTGGAAAAGGGCTGCAAAGGCGAAAATCACTGGAGAAAATGGTTCTATTCAGCACCGGTAGGCGTTCAGCTGTAGCACCCTTCCGGTGCCTAGCTGCCATGCCACCCGAAGGAAGCACGAGGGCTGGGATACTGCCAGGTTGCCCAAGCCTAGACAGGGAAGTCGAGTGGCGGAGGTCGGATTCGAACCACGAACCTTCCGGTCAGTAAATTCCCGCTCTAACCACTTGGGCCATCTCGCCCCCGGTAGGCTGAAAATTGATAAAGTTGAAGAGCCTAGGTTGGTCTAGTGGCTGAGCCTTTGAGTCGATAGAACGTTAGAAGTAGCCCAGATCTTGGACGTATATAAAAGTTGAGTAAGTGACTATATATGAGAGCCTAAAATGAGTTTTCCTGGCCCGACTGTAATCAGTCTCACATTCGGGGACCAGTTGAGGTTGTCGAAAAAATGCTCAGTATCATTAAGCCAGTCTGAATGCTCCCACTCCGTCCTAGCGTTGTACACTGTACCTCTGGTAGTAGACTGACGAAGCAATACATGAGTTACGGAACTAGTGTAGGTCACGGGGAACAGCCAATCTACAGATGTGACAAAATGAAATGCACCTTGAAAGCCGTGTTAACCTCTCTTTATGTCATTTACCAAGCTATTCCAATTGACTACTTGGAGAGAAACAAAACAAGGGAATCTTGCGCGTAACATTGCCACAAAAATACGGCATGAACCAACTGCTAAACTCGTTTTCTAATGTTCAGTATATCTTTTTCTTTCAGTCCTTTGGCAAATGAATGCCTGTTGGTTGCACTGCATACCGTTGTTGCGATTTTACACTTTGAAATGAATCGCGATTGGTGTGGCAATTGGAGACCAACTAATAACCTTCTTCAAGCAGTCCAACAGTGCTGCTCAGAGGCCTTCCGGTATGTGTTGCTTTCATTGATCTCAAATGTAAATGACATTGGTCAGTTATCTGAAGCCGCCTAATTTGCGTGAATAATTTGGTATTTCGTGTTTCTACATAACGCCCGTGACGCCTCAAAAGGCACATATCTCTAGATTGAATGCAAATTATCCGAGTGTAGAGGTGAACGACTTCATGGTGATCCTTCAAACATTTTAGATGTTACGTCCTTCGGATATTTTCCGAATGTTTCATAAATCCTAATCAGAAGACGATAACGTAGCTCGGTGATTAGAGCCCGAATTTACTGACCGCTAGGTCCGTAGTTCGAACCCAACATCTGCCTCCCGACTCCCCCTGTCTAGGCTTGGGCAATCTGTCAGTATCCCAGCCTTCGTGCTTCTCCCTGGTGGTATGGTAGTTAGGCATCGAAAGGGTATTACAACTGAATGATTTTGCAATAATCCTACGTAATCTGCATTTACTTTTCCCCCAGCATATCTCTTTTGACTACCGGCTCACGTGATCCCAATCGACCTGGAAGAGGGGATGGATTTTCGTCAAAAGCTCGGTTACGGACTCAGGATCGATTGGCGCATGACGTTTTATTGGAACTACTTCATATAGTAACGCTTCCGAAATTTCAGACTCATTTCGGTCACCTTCGGCGTGTGATCTCTCGTCATATGGATATTCACTTTACCAAACTCTGCGACACAGCTCCTGAGTATTTTACTTACCCAGTGCCTTGGCGCCTACGTCTTTTTGTGTTCTGTGGCCACCTGCTTCCTGAGTTACAACTGGCCAGAACGTGCGCCACCTCGGCCGCCTTAACTGCTTTCAACCCTGCCCTCAGTTTCTTCATAAACCAGCTCTCGGGATCTAATGTCTCGATGGATGAAGAATCAGCCACCGATCATCTGAAGCGTTTACTCACCCTTCTTTTTGGAACACACCTATCTTCTATTCTCACTTTCCACCAACGCGTTCCCTGCGGTATCCTGAAACATTCATCCTGTGAATTATCTTATGGCTTCGTTATTCACCGGACAGTCGCCATAAGTGTTCAGCAGCTGGCTACCGCCATTGAGTATATCTGCCAAACATTGGCCAAACTTCCTTTAATGTGTGAACCATATCAGTTGGACTCAAATCTGCACACACTCAGAGCACTCATTCTTCTGGCTGTTATTTGGTCTCATTTATCCCATGTGAAAGCACATGTGCTTCATTTAACTCACGCAGAATTCAACAATCTACTTCCTTCTTCTATTGTTGAAATCTTATTCCGAAAGGTTATCCAAGTTTTGTTTAAAAACCCCACCTCGTCGAAAAAACGTACGGAGTTGACCTCGGAGACTTTCGTGTGTGAGGATTCGAACACCCTATTGCTAATACAACGAAGCTTCGCAGTATTGCTGAAACATGTTTTAATCGGAGAGTGTAGCGACAGTGGTGAAATGCATCCATACTGGGAACAGTTGATCCACAGCGTTATCCAGAAGCCAGTCCCGTTCTGCCTGAAATCCCCAAATACGCCTACAGGAACACGTACACCACACCTGTCCCATGGTTCCCGATTTGGGGATGATGAATTTCTCGACTGTGTACCAGCTTCAGCGAACAATCTTGAAACAGACGCGGATGAATCCACACAAGAGAAGCTTCTCGAATCGGAAAAGCAAGAGCAGGAAACTAATATGATGCTTTTGAGCGCTGTTGTGTGCCACGCCCTGCGAATTCGTTCATCCAGCTTAGTTCGACTACTTCAATGTCGATTTTCTCAAGTGTTTTCCAACTCTGTTTGCGACACAGCAGAATCCATTGACTGGCTTTGTACAGTAATAGACAATCTCACAAGATCCAGCAAACTCTCTGTGTGTAGCTTAATGTTTCCGTGTTCAGACGTTACGTTTGACAGTGAGTTCATACTGCTATTCAGTTGCCTCGTTGATGCCATTCGTGAATCGCTCAAAGTCAGACTTGCCCGCATCAGTCGAGTCAAATGTATCAGTCAGTTAGTGAAGTTGATTCGCTGTAGCTGCCAACTGACCGAATGCACTGTCCGGCAAGTACGTAACCAGCACAAAAAGACCTCCAAAGAATCGGACAACTTGCAGCGATGGTATTCAATAGGACAGCATCTGGATCAGCTGAATCGAACTGTTTGGTCCGTTGTGGCAAAGCATGGTACTCATCTTCTCTGTGGACTTGGTCAGGTCGCAATCGATTGTGTTCGGTCTTGGTTCAAGGTACGTCACCGTCGTTTACGTTTCGGGAATCTTGAACGAACCTGTGAGTGCTTCTTTCACTGCAGGACTAGCCTGGTCGGTCTTCTTGTGGCAGCCGGTCCAAACCCAAATTTGTTTTACTGACCAGTTCATCAATAAATCAATGTCGTGCTGCGCCAGACCAGACATGTGGTAAAATAACCTCCACTATGTGGATACCTGAGTGAAATAAATACAAGCATGAATGCTAAGGTTTTGAACTATAATCCATAGCGCGCACAAAATATATCCGTTGGTAACGAAACGTTTCTGGCGCAGCCATCAGGTCGCGACAACTCAATAGCCCACTAGCTGGCCTTGTCTGGGCGGTTGGAAGAACATATGTCTGATAACTAACCGCTTAAAGGGTGTTTAGTGACGCACTTAGTGTCTCTGACTGAAATAAACCAAAAGTTCATGGAGTTTTGCCGAAAAAGGGCTTCGGGACGAAGCAACGGCACTCCTGGAAGCGGGGAAAATTGAATAACTTCCGGTGGGCGAGACACTCAAAAGACCAAAGGACGAAACTTCGCTTTTCGAAGGATATTGTTTCTATCTCTATAAAACAAGAAACTACGGGAATCCTAACTTCACCCCACTTCCCTAATGGCTTTAGCAATGGTTAACAAGACGTTCCATGTATCCAATTGACGTAGACCCAAAAATTAGCGGATATAATGGCCATGTCCTGCCTTCATGGGGTCCGTGAATAAGTTTCACCGTAGAGTTTCTAAACACAATGTGAATTTTGACGCCATAAGCCTCGCCCGACTTTTGTAGCCTTTCTACAGCCAATTACGTCCTAGGGAGAGTAGGTGATTATTCTGAGTTATCGGTATACATAGTGCGATCTCTTACCAGGTAAACCCCCAGATGTGTCGCTAATCTGTCTATAATAAGCTAAGCGCTTGGTATCATTTGGTTTCTTCACTGGGTTTATGTGGCATTTCCTTCTAAAACCGGAGTTGGTATCAACGGCGCTAGCATGCCTTGACAGCATCACAGTCTATGCTACGTCACCATTCATTTCTCAACTAACCTCCTCTGTAAACTAGCTTTCAGTGCGCTGCCCCTGTAACCTTGATATATCCCGAGTGGCACACTTTAAAGTTGTACCGACAGGCTTGGTTTTCATTTCCTTTCTAAAACTAGGTAAATCCGTTACAGCTCATCCTACTATCTTGTTATGGTTAAAAATGTATTCCCCTTTTCGAATAGCCATATCACACTTTTCGGATATCATTTATGCGGCGCCATGTTTTTCAGACGTCATCCATGCCATTCGTTTTTTCTCTGTTGACATAACTGTTAGTCTCTTTCTCCTATTTCTTGCAGTTGCACTCGTCGGGGATCATTGGAAGGCATGTTGATCCTGAGTACTGTGTTTCAACCGTATTGCAGCACTCACTGGCTCCAATCATTATGCAGTTAACTGAATTTCTAGAAAGGTCAGTTCCTGCCCCATCTAATTTTTGCCCATAAGTGAGAAATCCAAATCACAATATTTATAAGGTCTATAAGCAACGAAAATTCTGGAATTTCAGTCCGTATTTCATCTTGCAATAAAATCTCGAGAAATCAGTGAAATCAGCACTGCTAGTGGTTCCCAACGAGGATGAGACATTTGTACGCTGTCTCTCCACTTTCCATCACAGCTTGACCTCACTTGACGGTTCAAATATGGATTAAAATAGAGAGTTTTCCTGGAGTAGTGCATGCTGTGACACCTCGTGAGAAAGACCATGACCTCAGAGAGCCCGGAAATATCTTCTGAATAACTTTCCCCCAAAGTCAATACTTTTTCTCGCCGTTGCAGACAACTTGTGTCACTTCCAAATGGCTCATACAGGTGTCACCATGATCACAGACAGCAACATCAGTGTTGACACTGACGCTTCACTGCCGTTCGACTACAAATTTAAGTTAGTTGCATTCAAGTTCTTAAATTGAAAAAGGGAAAAGTGGATGAAGGAGGGACCTGGCGCTGTCCTACCGTAAGTACTCTGAGTTACCTGCACCTGATACTTACTGCCATTTTCATTATAAAAAATCGGAAAGAATTTGAAGTGTTAACTTGCATAACCGACTTTTAATGGATGTTTGATTTAAGGTTCGTTCGAAGGACACATCGGGTGCTCCCCATTCGAGAGAACTGTATTTTGGCGTTCGGATTATGCATGGGTGTCGATAACGGTTCAGTATCGATAATTGCTCATTTCGTAAACGGAAACATACTCCAACCGGATTTTCTCGACTAAAACCATTCATGCACAGGTGTTACGCCTGTAATCTGCTCATGCATCGCAATCGTCAATGGGAGTTTGCAAATCTAACTCTCTGACATATCGGGGTCTTATGGAACTAAAGAATGAGCAAATTGACAGTACTGAACATCTGTCGAGATTGATACGTACATACAGACGTTGGGTTAATTAATATGACCTTGAGTAGGCAGGAAGGTGCACTATCCCAAAAAGACTGCTCGGTGTATCACATCCCCTGGATCATCAATAGAGGGAATGAACCTTTTTTACTTATAACTTGTGGTCCTGAGCTCCTTTAGATTGATACACCATATAGTATACCAACAAACCGGGTATACGAAGTTGCTAACTCCAATAACCAGAAAGAACAGTATTGATGACTGTCCTGAAACACTACTGGAGAAGGGTCCTTCAAATGCTATTTATACACCCGAATTAACTGAATCTCTCATTCGTGATATTGTTCAACTGAGTGTACTGAACAGACGCTTCTCGTGTTTCATGTCAACTGAAATATTGGGAATCCTTTATCCATCACATTCACTTGAAGGCCCTAAACGAGAGATTTGGGTGAGTCCCGCGTTAACACTACAGTGTATCCGACCAACCGCGTGCTATTTGGTGTCCAAATGGAACAGATGTGAAAACTTGGGGGTCGCGCTCATCAGATGGGTCGCAAGATGGCCAAAACATGTAGTGGGCTGTTGAAGGGTTTTCGGCAACCTCACGAGTAATGTTGTTCCAAAAAAAATAACCAAGTAACGTATGAAGTTCTTGAATTGGTCAGAATATATCAGTAAAGTATCTTAACGAGGGGGGTTAGTTCCATAATTTCAGTCCAGTTTCACTTGGTTGTATTTCTACTACTACCAGAGTAAAATTTCTGCACTTCTGGAGCACTTGTGCACTTCTGTCACGTGCTGATAGAAAATCACTCACTTACGTTTCTATCTGAGGTAGTGTCGCTGGTGAGGAATTCGGTTGGTCCTATGGTTTCTCACGGGATACGTAGGCAAATTCGCACTACAGTTTCTTGTAAGTGATGAGGTATTCCGCTTTCAGGTAATCCCTTCATTTACGTCAACGAGGTATCGGTGATGAACACTGATATCATGCTGTCGATGATGATGATGAATCTCCTTATTGTCCCGACATGGCAGTCGGCATCCAAGCTACTCCACAGTCTTTCTTGTTTTCACCTCCAAGGTCATCTTCCTAAAGACACTTTTGGCATTTGTTTTTGACACGCCTTATTTCAGCCTACCTGCCGATGGCCAGCGGAAATGACTCCTGTCGAAGTGCACCGCCGCTCCTTTGAAAGTTCGCATTTCTTCACTAATAATACACATAAAAAGTGAAGACCGCTTTGAGTGGGTCGCCCATCGGGTTACTTGGCGAATTCGTCCTCCGTTTACTAAATGTGGTCACCTGCACCTTCGTACGGGAGTCTGCAGTTTTTCCAATGATTCACCTCGAACCCGGCAGGCTTAGCTTTTTTCAGGTTTTTTATTCAACATCTCTTGAAATTTGTGGGGGCATTCGACGTTACTGAAACGCAGTCCTTTTCCACTTTTGCGCGTACCGGATCTGTAATCGTCCAGCAGTTAGGTTCTGTCCACATTCAACCTCATGTCCATATGACAATTCGCATGGTAACTATGCCCGGAAAACGCGCCATGACCCGACAATTTGTTTTTCTTTCCTCTTCTCAGAAGGTTTACTGTCCCAAATATTTCTATGGAATGCTAAGTTCAAGTTACCATAGCATAGAGATGAACCGGCCTAAATTGCAGACGGTAACAGTGTGGACTAGTTGAACCGAAATATGGTAGTTTACATACTCGAATACAAGCATCTGACCTGAACACTTTGGCAGAACTTTTTGCAGTTTCATACAAACTTCAATGGTAACCGTATCTTTACTGACACCTGCGTGCCTGATTCCGTGCAAGTATAACGTCCAGCCTCCTCCTGTAGTATGTGCATCCCTAATCATACTAAGATGAAAGGTTTACCTCTGGTCCACCTCTGAAGGATCAGTATTTAGACTTGTTTGCTACGGTCACCAAATATGCTCGTTGCCTGTGCAACAGGCATCGCGCAAATGCGATTAAGCCCGTCCGTTTTCCCATGTTTCTTCGATCCCACTCCAGTAGCTGTCACCCAACACCGCACAAATTTACCACTGATTTTGATTAGAGTTGGAGAAACTCGTCATATTCCATGCTGAGCAGGTGTCAAACCACATCACTTGATCATTTAGTTAATGGCTCTGTGTACTTACTGTACGACATAAATGCAATGCGCAAGAATCCAGACGTTGATACTCCCAATATGAATTGAACAACAGTTATCTTGGGTCAACCTAACTGGGATCCTCGTTGTCGCTGACGGGAACATATTCTGTGTGCTAGGGCGCCGAAAAATACAGCAGATGCATAGCGACGAAACTAGTTCAGTTGAAAACATCGATTAAGGACCTTAGTTTACAGATGACCATCACAATGAATCACGAACAGAAGAGAGGACAAAACTCAACCCCAATGGTTCACGTAGCTCAGCTTCTTATCGCCACGACCTGAGAAAAAACGTGCGTGAAACGGGATAGCCTTCGTAGCCGTACGACAGATAAGACGCGGGTTCTATTTCGACTTTTGACATCAGCTCTTTGGCTAGTCTAATTTTCACTCATTCGGAATTAACCATATTCCTTATGACACAGGTAATTTCGAGGAAAACTCTTGAGACAGCCAACTGTGTAACCATGTTATTTCTGCCTCCCAGTTCTCGTTCTAACTTCACAGTCATTTAATCGCTTACTAAAACAACATGTTTCCATTTAATAGCTTGACTAAGAAAGCCTCCGTACAACACTGGAAGGAGCGAAATTCCGATTCCTTGGTCCTGCTGCTCAGTACCATATTAGGGGCACTCAACCGTAGACCACTTTCTCTGGAACAGTGCATCACTTTCTCGTCGACCGGCTCCAGTTCTTCCTCATCTTGTGATATGACTTTGCATATTCATCGGCTGATCCATTCGATCCTCGTTTCCGTATCTGGCCTCCCTGTATCTGACTGTCAAAGAAGTGACCCATGCGAAGAACCGCACTCTTCGATGACCTTACACATTGCGCTTAGCTGTTTTGTCCAGTCCTGCATACAGCTGACCGATTTGTGTTCCACCTCTGGCCGAGGCTTATCCACTGAAATCTTCCAGGTCAGTTTCCATTTCAATTACAATTCCTGTTGCTGGGGTGCAATACGTGCGCTAATTGGACTAATCCAGGTAATCCTGGTCGCAATTCAGACGCAATCAATCCATCATTCACTACAAATGCCAAATCCCATTTGGTCGGCACTACCCCGACTCTGTGCTTCCAATCGCTCTCATCTTATTCATCCACAACTGGCCTGGCGACTGTTCACATCCTCAAAAATATAATGCACTTTAATATAATACATTTTGCCCAGCTTAATCAGCACGACAGCATCCCCACTGAGGCTTATCAGCACTGAGTGCCATGGGGCCCAAACATTGAAGCAACGTTTTCTTTAAAACGCTTGACTCATTCAACTGCCGTGGTATGACAACCGAGGTGTGCAGTAGAGTATTCGCATTTGTGAACTTCCATGATGATTCGTGCAGATCTGCTGATGACGTTCTGCTTTTTCCTTATTTAGATTCTCTCTGGTGCAACACCGAGTAGCTGTGATTTGGCCACATTTGAACTCCAGGTTCGACCCTATCTGCTCCCACTCGTTCTCACGGGATGGCTCCGGAGCAAGTCCTCCTTTGAACAAGACACGGTCAGACTGTTGAGCGAATTTCCGTGGAAATGTTGGGGTCTTGATAATTGGTCGGGAAGCTCCAGGTGAGCCATTTTTATATCATCTTGTGTTCCCCCTTACATTTGCAGTTTACGATAAGCCTCCACATACGTGAAGTCCGAATTGGATAGTGTTTCATCAATTTGGACAGTATGAGGCGATGTTGGAACGAGTGATAAATAAATATCTATGTAGCCTGTGCAGATCTCGCATCATGTAAAAATTCAAGCTAAAGTGTCTTCTTTGGTCATAATACCATATGCACCCTAGTTCAAAAACTTGTGATGTGAAGCCTATCTTATTTGCTTCAGCCCACTGCGTCTAATTGTAAAGGAACGCAAGAACACAATTTAAGCATTAAAGAAACCCCCTGTACACCCTACTACCTTGTAAACAGGATCACCTGCGTTTGCAGACAACATTTCTTTTGAGACTTATTACATATTTTATCTGGATACACTTACTGAGATTGTTGTCCTTCTTCCATCTACTCTCTCTCTCACTCTGTTCAACTCACCCGTCTCAGCTCACCCCAGTCCGATCTGGTTTTCCTCGTTCTGAGTCGCTGTAATCCAAAGCTAGTCGAGGTCACGTGTGCCCAACGCATTACTGATGTGCCTTACATTATCGGTACTCTCGCTTTCGACGAACACCGCCTGACTGGAACAGGTTCATCTAACTTGACAACGCGTTGGAGCGCTTTGCAACACCAGATAGGCGGATCAGAGGTATGCATTCAAGAGTATATTTGTTTATTGTTGCTTTGGTTTTTCGTGATTCGTGATCACCAAGTCAGAAACTGGTTTGGAACCATATAACGGTCGTGGTAGCCCGATTAGCCCCAACCAATATACAACCAGCCATCTTCACGCGGTTCTCATCTTTTTTCCCTGTGTTTGTGAGACAACAGCTGACAGTTTTGCTTACCTGATCTATTTCTTTCAACTGCGAACCATATTTATGAGTATGGTGTTTATGCCCGCCACACTCTGGCTGCCGACAAAGAAAGACGGAACATGAAAGCAGATCAATAAGTGAGGATAGCCAATTTGAGAAGCTGGTTGTCTATTTCATGATCCATGCATACCGGTAAGGGCCTTTAATCACCAGTTGGGTTATCCTTTACACCACTGCCTTGAAAGACATCGTGAAGTGACGAAGACCATTATTTATGTTTATGCTACTTCGTTGCCTCATCATAGACCATCCATCCGTTACTTTCTTGGTTAATCCAGGAAGAAGACAGCTGGCCTAATGCACTACTCATAAGTTTGCTGAAAATCTTATGTTCTACTTGAACCTGAATTTCACGAGATTGGCGAAATACAGTCATTTGCAAACAAAGTTGGTTTTGTGAGAGACTCACCTGGAACCTAGCTGAATCCCTCGTTTATGATGTTTCTTCTGGCTTGTGTAACAAATCACTGAATCAACCAGCGGATGGGATTTTATCAAACTGACAATCAAGCATCCAGTAGACCACATAAAATACCACATGACGTTTTTCAGTGTTAGAAACACGATGGTTCCACCACTTGTGTGAACTTAATTGGCCAATATCTTGTAGTGCCCATTGTAGCGACCCAGTCACCCACATACTTGACACAGACTCGCCGCGCAAGTCTGTGTTGACTGGGTTCGGTTTCCCTTTATGTACGTCCCAGTGTGTATAACTGGGCGCGTCGGCACATGAGTGGTTGCTACGCTGACTAGGCGGTACAGACAATCGATGTCCGATGAGTCAGTTTAATGCGACGTGTTTGTGCGTATGAGAAAAAAGGCAAGCCTCGCGATCCAGTGAGCGACTGTGAGTTGAACAGTCAAGTATGTGGGTGACTGGGTCGCTGCACCATCTCTTTTCCGCGCATATCAATATATACCAGCGCCAGTCCCACTGCAAAACCGTATGCTTTTTCCCTTCACTAACAAAACAAGAGCACACCGGCGGAAACTCGAATACAAGTTCCAAATACATTTGTTGAGCTTTTGGTACCCCCTATATCCAGAAGCCATGCAATAGGGAAACCGGGTGATCCTCTACATTGGGTTGTGCAGCGCTCAATTTGCAAGGGCTGGCTTCATTACTCGACTTGATACCTGTAAAATGTTGACCCCACGCTGTCCGACTTTCCATTTCCATAAAAAAAATACCGAGCCGTACTTGTCTGTTGTGTTCGTTTGTGCATCGGCTTACTATAGTTTTGATTCATCGAAAAACGCCTAACGAGAACTGATCCCCTTCATGTCCACCGCGAAGATTTCAGGCGGCCGCATTAGCGAGAGACTGCAATGTACAGGTGGGGGGCGCCTCAACTCAAGAGGGACGCCCTGGTGGTATATTTCAGTCTGGATGCAAAATGTAGTGATAATGATGGTTGTCTTCTATACTCTGTACTGCCTTGTGTCCCTTCTCTGAGCAATCTTTCAGTCAAATTGATCACATCACCATCAGCGGCCAATAGCGTGGTTCAATTCTTCACTACCAGTCTTTTCGGAATACACAGAGCGATTCAGATCGGGCTCTCGTACGGTGAATTTTCACGACAATTCCAGGAAAGAACTTATTTACCAGTAGAAAAGTTTATAAAGCCACATTTTAAGGAAACGTACCAAAGCCCATTATGCAATGCACTAAAAGCAATCTCCTCGGGTGACACAGACCGTAACTGGAATGAGATCACCAAAACCATGTGATGCTGGAAACCCTGTTCATGGTGTTTCTGAGCGCGTACACGAAAGTCAATGGATCTCACAGCCATTGCTATCACTCCTCTATACGAGATCCTGTATCTTCTCTGGTTCAGAGTACAATTCGGCCAGACAAACGATTGGACGTAGCCTATGTGGACAGAGAGGCATGGTAGAACCAGAAAGTTTGACAAATGGAGCAGATCAGTGCAGCTGAAATTGCACGGAAGATGTTCCAGGTAGTCTGTAAAACTAGACCTAAAAGACCTGCCGTGAGTTATTCAAAGATAACTTTGTAAACGTGATAAATAACAAAGATCAGCGTCTGTATCGCTCGACGGAATATTTACAGCAGCAGTCAAGTTGGCACCTTGCTGCTGTGTCTATCTCTTTTATTCGATCCTCTCATTTTAGTCATTGTTTGTGATGAATTACTGATATGGCTTTATTCCTTTAAGCACCATCGGGCTGCTGGGCCAAATGATCTTCCCCCAGTGTTGTTCAAAGAGGGGGTTCTATGTGTCCTACAGGTCAAATTGGGTATAAATTCCAGCACTTAACTGAGACCAGCCCCTGTTACTTTTGCCCCATAAACAGACATGTAGCACTACAAATCAAACAAACGAGTCGTCTACGGGATGCGGTAAATCATATCAGTGCTTATTTGGTCGAAAAAGCAAGCACTAATCGAGTTGGCCTTTCAGGGAAAAGTCTCACGTGATGCAATCAATACGGTACATTTCAAGGACTATCCGGTTTAGGCATTTGTTAGGAGTACGATGTGGAGATCTTGCCCCAGACGTGAATCTGATTTTTCTACTTAATTTGCTTCTGAATGTTTAGTTTAGCGTTTGATATTCGCCTTTTTTTTAACCACTCTTCGTGTTTTACATCTTACTCATGTTTTTTTCAGATGATTAGACAACTATTCGCCGAACCTTCTACTGTGGCCACCGTCGTGGAACACATCCTTCGTCTTCTCGCTTTGTATCAGTCTGCCGACAACCCTGCCCCCAGTAGTACGCACTCTTATGATCTGCTGCCACCATACAGCCGAGATTTGGTACTGTGCCTCTGTCGTCTTGCAACAAGGCTGGAACTTGTGAAAACCGATCCTTTTGAATCCAAACATCCTTCAGATTCGATTGAACCGTTTATTCCAGCACTCTGTAGTCTGTTTGCTTCGAGTTCCCAATTGCCGGTATGTTGCTTGTGGTTGGCTCACACGCTTTATCAAATTCTCACTTATGTTGCAGTTAGACTGATCCATTTTTAGTTGCCTATTTTCCTGATTACATTCCGACGCACATATACGCGTTGAACGTTTGAAAATTCGCGTCCCTTTGCACGTATAACAGATTGATCGTTGGTAGCACTGCCATAGCCTCGATGGACTACAAGTTACTATTCCAAACGGGCGTCTGTTTCTCTATTCTCGTATCAAATCTCGTTGAAGTCAGTTTCCTTTACCAGCGGATCTCTTCATGATGAATGCAAGCCCAAAACTACACTGGAAGTTGTCGTATCTGGGATCAATATATAACGTTAATCTACCCGTAATTACGGATTGCAGACATCATAAGCACTCACTTCTCTTCAGTTGATCGTTTTACGATCCCTGATGATTCCCTCATTTCATGCTTTAATTGAAAGATTGGCTTATTTCGACGGATCGCCTACTTGGTAGTATTTCATCACTTCGGTTGTCAGACTTCTTCCAGAACTGCGGTCCTCGTGTACATCATTAGTTGCGACAACAGGAGAGAACATAGTTAATGACAGTGTATATATTTGTACGTGTGTATATGCATACGGTTACGAGTAAGCTTCACGAAAGTTGACAATTTCCACTATTTCTCGGGGTATTTGGTCATGAGGTCAAACATTTGGAACCGTATCAAATGGCCACCAGAACATTCTTGTTTCAGTGTTCACTAGTGCTGCATTTTGGTCGGAGTGCGAGAGCTCAATTGATACTCCGGCTCTTTTATTTCGCAACAGAACAAGTTGAATCTCATTCATGCCCCATTCCGATCTATAAAACTTCTCTTCCATCTTTAGCATCAAACGGAACGCTTACTGAGGTTGAGCGTTGAACTTTCTTCTGTATCCCATCCCCCCTCCAACAACATGGGTATTCTCTTCGTTCGTCAGCATAAAATTTATTCATGGATGGCTATTTGCAGTCTAATTGTGTTGGTCGTATTCCACCCGGCTTCCTCTTACTCGGCGGCATGTTGTCAAGTCGAGCTGAAAGATTTCCTATTTTGGCGCCTGGTTGTAGGGCATCTTCAGTTGCTTGCGGCGGAATCGGATGAGTCGTGAGTGAAACACTCAATTTTCATAACGTGTTTTTCACTAATAGTTGTGTTTTGGCATACCACTTTCTTTCATGCTAAACGACAGATAGCAAATCTGTTTCCCGACCACTCTCACCAGTACAGCTATTCTTTCTCCACTTGAGCTTACTAAACTCATGTCAGTGGTTTTGTGGAGTGTACCTGGTTCGATTAGAGAGTACAGAGACTCTAAGAGCTGAGTGCAGTTTTTGGGTCCTTGGATTATGTTTATTTCAAGAGATCGAGCGCTACATGAGAGAAGATCGCCATCTGCCAGCTCTGGTAGAAACGTAGTCGCTACTCATATGTCACCTTAGTAGAAGGAGCTAGCTAAGATATATTCAAACGGTCGTGAAAATTACCCTTTAAGATGTCTTGTCCCTTAAATCCGTATACTACAAGCCTCCAGCACTGTTAAGGTGTTCTACTACACGCAGTGGTACCTTCTGTTCATGGCAAATCACTCTAAGGTACCAAAATTTCATGTCTGTCTCAATGAACTCTAAACGAACAGGACGTCGTTAGCTAACTGGGGTTTGCATTGCTTCCATTCCCCACTGACACTCTGGATTTCGCGCTACACTATCGAATGTATCCCCACCCTCACCTTCGGTCCTGACCCAAGGTTTGCCATGGTTTGAAGGAACTGAAACCAGTTTTCCTGTCAAGGAGACACTCAGGGCGATGGCGTTAAAAGTGAAGAACAAACCAGTGGTTCTATAGCTGACAGCTTTGGTAGCGGTAGAACCCAGGTGTACATCACTGTTGTATCATCAAATACCGTGGGTGAAACTACTTACGCAAAAAGATATATTTTTCATCCTGGTGTAGTGTGCGGTTGTCTATGTCTACTTGGAGCAGATCAACGAGACTATTTGATCCTTTTTATTCCTATAAAGTGGGATTGCGAAGAGATATTCCTTCAGAAGAGCTCGATCTTGGCCTGTCCCCACACTTTTAGGAGTGTGGAGATAGTGGAACGGGATCTCCAACTATGCCACAGATAGCCGTAATATGACGACTTGTTTTTCACGCTCTGTTGTGACCGAATTCCACTCTTCGTATTTGTGCTCATCAACTTGAACAGTTTTGCAACATGGCCTCAATTCAAGTTGAGGTAACGGCAGTGGTTAATTGTAATACAGTTACTGGGAAGCTGTGTGGTACAAAGAAAGCGTTATTCTTTAGATAGTCTATCTCAGCTATTCTGCATTTTCGGTGAGAGAGTAGAAGTGTTTTCGTGTCGCCTAGCTTCAAACAAAAATAATCAAAACACCAGGATTCTATCTAGTTACACCACTTCTTCCTGATAAACAAGTTGTAGGTGGCAGCGGGATTCGTAGCAGTTACATGACCATCCAGCCGCCCTCTGCTAGCGTAATTATTCTGGTGAGTGGACTCTAGTTTCACTCTTATCAGAGCTCCCCGGCAATGCACACCCGGAACTCCAACATCTCACATGCAAGTTGAGCGTGCTCCCACCGTCCCACTGGATTACCACATCTGGACATTCGAACATGTCCATACTTGAATGATTTGATTGATTTCCCCCCACACTTCGAAACACGACCCATTAACTGTCCTGGTTTTATTGATCGACTGACCCGCCTGTCAGGAATTCCCAGTCAGGTAGCGCCACGGACGTTCGAAACCTACTGGGCGCGATAACTTAGGTGCGTTCAGCCTCCGCTTGTGAAGTAGTGGTAGAACGCTGGTCTCACTCGCCAGATGCACGAATTTCACTCCCAAGCATGTGTACTACCGATGCGCTCGTTTCACCTCCTATGAGAGCCAACCTAGGATATAGTGCTCCTCCTCTTTCGTGTGAATTTATCAGAATAATTGCGCCAGGANATATATATATATAGCGAACTTATACTGTCTCATCTCTCCCTACACTCCCTCTTATCATATCGCTGACGCGTCAAGCTATTTCTTTAACCAATCTCAGGTTCTCCCTCACTCTGAGCTTGTTATGCTCATTGGATGCGTTCCTGTTCTTCACTCGATCCCATGTCTATGTTCAACGTGACGTACAAGTAAGTATAATTGAGCACAGGAGTTTATCTCTAGATCCTATCGGCTGTAAACTGTTTTTGAAATAAGTTCATTCGTAATTCGTGGAAGATGCATTAACGAAATTTTTCTTTCAGCAGGGAGTTTGGTGCAACCCCGCTTTTCACTTTGGTTTGACTCCATTTGTGGCGACCGATTCGGCTACCCTAAGACTCACTAGTAAATCCAGGTTCAGTTTGGGTCACTTTGGGGTCTTCGGGGTCAGTATCACTCCTTGCCATCAAGTTAATGTCTGTCTTTTCCGCATCGCCAGAACCCCTGTTATGCTAGCTCATCATACTCCGCGTAATAAACGCAGATTACTTTATTTTCTTGACGGAACCCATCACTCATGCGGCTTCTGGAGAGCCTTCGACAGCCCGCAACCATTTTTCTTGCGGTAGGCGCAGTCCCGGCGAGTCTAGGTAAGCATTCAGTTGAACTCCACGTTAACACCAACGTAACTTGCAAATGAACGTATTTCATCAGTTGCGTGCAGTTTGATGTTCGAGTAGAACATAAGGTTACGGGTAACTCGGGGACTGAAACAAGAGCCCAAGAGTGTGGTTACTGCGTTCCGGCAGGCAAATGTGCTGCGATATCTAGAATACCGTGCCGACTGAAAAATGAGGCGGCTTTGGTGCAACAACATCACAGACGATAAACTCGTCTACTATTCTGCTGGGTCGCCTGCTACTTCGCCAACAGCTCCTCTTCTCTTCTGGTGGTCTTTCCCATTGACGGCAACGACACTGTGGAACAATCTCATGCTGCTGAAATTTTCTACTCAATGGAATAGCCATCATTTAATTTCATCTTCGAAGGGTGTTTTACCACACTATTGAAGGTGAAAGGAAGATGGCTTCGCTGCGGAGTTGTCTATTAGAGAAAAACCAACTGAACAGTTACAGACTATTGGACAGGGGAGCAAAACACTCATATGCATCTTGCTTACAAAACTGAATATCCATCTTCTCCTTGAACGCGTCTTCCTGAACTTCCCTGGATATTCATTGACTGTTGCTCAAATGCAAGCAATTGCTACAAAGCGACTCCACAAATTCCGCAATAGATCTCACTTTTCAGGAGACACGAAGCGGATTTACGGGAAAACATGCTACTCGTATGTCTCGTCAGTAGTATCCATCGTTACACTGGTAGATCAGTTTTTTTAGTTGGTTGTTGATCTGTTTGCCTAGATGGGTGATTCGTTTGCAAACGTTCCGCCATATCACTAGTGGCAGATCACCGATACCTTTGGTTTTCGGTTATCTCTGTGTTAATCGTTTTTACGTTCCTTTCCAGATGGAAGCCACCCTCCATCATGCAATCGTAGCTCATCTTGTTGGGTTGGCTATGAAAATTTTTGAAACTCGGCATAGCTGCAACAAGGATAGTTCGACAGAACGCATTCGAACCAAGGATTTTAAGGCTATTTTGGACAAGGTACGAATCACCTTTTTACCGCCTATGCTTTAAAACTGCCCCTAAACCTATATTTTCCATTTGGGACTACCACTCTGGAGATATGCTGAGTGGTCCTCCTTAAATATTGTAAACAATCGGTGTTCGAATAGGTAGTGGTTTACTCTGTGCTCTCATATTGATTGTTATAGATTGCCACTTTATTCTCGACTCTTGTTGTCGCTACTGTATCATCAATAGGTTTGACAATTAGGCTGTTCCGAGATATCCTGCTTATTAATTCTTTAGTTTCAATCTGTGACTTGTCTAAGCCTCGCTTTCATGCAATCTGCATCAGATCTCCAACATCCTCGCGTCACTTATGGGTCCTGAGGCCCTTCCTCGCTTTCAGTCAGCCATCTGTCAATTGCCTGATTTTCCAAAAACGAACCGTTCGCTACCTTGGTCCAATGAAGTTATCAATTTCTTTGGGGAGAACCAGCGGTTACTGACAAACTCCTGTTCATGTGACCGCACCAATCCATACCAGGTACGTTTGGCTTTCAAACAGTCGTAAAAAACGTGTGCTTGTACTTGCCGTGTAGTATCTCAGCAAAAGATAGTGTAGATGAACTGGATGCTTACTATCGTCAAAATTCCTGTGACCTGTACGCTAAACGGATTTCCTTCTTTTGTTATGTGTCCCCTCCCTTCTAATTCTTTTTTCATTTCTTACCCTACTTGGCCGTTCTACAAACTGAGTGGACCTAGAATGTGTTGACTTTACTTTGCCTCTCCGTGCTGCGCAGAAGCACCGCGGCTAGAAGACACCCAATGACTGATTTGTCAACTTCCCAAAAATATATATACTGCTCTAGACTTTGTTTTCCATCGATTTTGTTTCGGTTTTCTGATGTTCTGCTTCAAACCGATCTGATGACGTCCAAGACTAATCGATTTTACCTAGGTGTACAAACATAACCTCGGGTAGATGAACTTTACGTAACTAACCCTCTTTCTGTTCACTAAGGTCACCCTCTCGGAAATGACATTTTGCGCCCTCAAATATGATGACTGCTGGTTGCAGGACAACTGTCACGATAGTTAACTCCAGTAGGGTCTCCTCTCTATTTTCACACCAACCTGGACCATAAGTAGAAATGAGCAGCTTTCTTGAAACTGTAAGTAATTTTGCTCACAAGGTTTATAGGCACTTGCTAAACGCGCCACGTAAACCTCAGCCAAAAAAGCACGCTCTTCTTGAGCTACTCGATCTGTTAATGAAAGATTTTGTTCACCTTCGAATTCCTAACAAACCCGGGTAGCGATATATGCATTTTAGATCAATTCTGAGATTTGCGCTCTTATTACCTGCTTTAGAGTGATTAACTCGTCAAACGCGCTCCCACGCGCTGCTTTATTATTTGAAACGAAGGTCGTCGTTCGGCTAAAATAACTCCAGTGCAATAATCTGGGCACCTGTTCTCTTTTACCTCTTCAGGACTTCACTGGAGTGTCTCCTGATTGCCTCTATCCTACTCGAGCGGTTGCCATGGGAACAGCTGTGTTACTCCTTTTTGAAGTGTCTACGCATAAGACATCTTATCCACCACTGACAATGACTGTTTTAATCCGTATGACAATAGCCTTTGGCTGCAAGAATTTTACCTATTTGTCATCATTACTGCGAGTAACAGTTGTTTTACTTTTTCAAACCGCATGGAGCAACGAGCTGCTCTCATTCCTTTTTTTCAAACCCAACATTCACTTCTTGTTTCTTACCCTTTCCTAGGCTTTCCGGATATTCAGCTCTTATTTCGAGAAATCGAAACTGCTGTGTTGCCCCGCATTACTTCGTTATCAGAACTGGAATCTCAACCAACTGCAAGATCTTCTTGTCAAATTCCTAGCACCTGGCAGTGATGTAGTGCCGATCGACCAGTTAGAGTTTTCCGTCGGTGCCCGACACACCCAGCTACAGCAGACCGCTGCAGCCATCTGTCAGTCCTTCAGTGTCAGTGCCCACGGTTAGTTGTTTGCGTGAACAGCCCACACAGGGCTTCATGTGATTCGTCCATTTTCCGGTCTGTATTTAGTTTCAGTGTGACATTTTTGTTTCTCTAGCACAGTGACGACGAAGAATGTGCTTCCGTGGAAGAGTGCGAAATGGCTCGGTCCCAAATTTATTTGCATTGAGATTGATAGACAGTCTCTCAAGATAGAAAGAACAGCGATATGGTAATTCGGGTGAAAAGTGTAGTTTGCGCGTACGCGTATGTGGAGGACAAAAAGCATGCTACCGTAGAAATCACAACCAAAAACGCTCGTTGGAAGTGCGTCACATTTTTCATTTGTTTTATTCCCCAACTATTTTGTCTTATTTACCAATATACAAATTCAGTGATCTTCAAAATCACTCAACAAAGCGACTGATGACAGAAACGCTATTTTGGCGTCCTGTTTCTTGCTCCACACGCTGGCAGTACCCACCTATTTCAGGTAACTCCTGTGTAACAGCTCTAAGGTAACTCCGCGCGTATCAGTTGATGTCCTTTCAAGCTGTATATGAAATTCTTTTTAAGAACAACTACTCAAAGCATGTGTCAATCAAGAGACGGCACTTCCAAGCGCGAGTTTGGCCAACCCTGAGAGTGCGCGTTATTCGCCGGGGAGTACTGTGATTCCATAAGTTCGATGCCGTACTCATACTTCTCTCTTTCCAACGTGCTGTTGATGGTCGTTATAGGAGGCGCGTTTGGATGGAGTGTATTGCTTCCCTGGCTGTACCACAACACGCGAGTTCTAGACTGATGTCTCCGTTGTCCAACGGCTTTTTTCGAGTGTACCTTCTAGCGGTTCCCTAGCTAACTGCAGAATATAAAGATTTAATGATTTTCAATTACCTTTATACACATTACGGAACAATCGACTCTGTCTATTGTTGCCTGGAGTCCATGAAGCCTGATAGTAACATCTGACATCTGGGTTGAAAATGCTCTGGAATATTGGTGGATCAGATGTGTTTAGGTGTAACTGATCAAGTAACTGTTAATCTCTTTACCGTGTCCGGCAATTGTCTTTCAAACGCACATCGGCATTCGAGGAGACATAATTATCGGACTCACTCAACCACCAGCGCACATCTAGATATCCACGGCGCTCTCCATCCGATAGACCCGTCCGCTTATTCCACATTTGACTACACCTGGGAGCTTCTGCTCTACCCGCGAACCTGAACAGCGCCAGTCAATTTCAATAGAGCTTTGCTGTATTGCTAAAGATGGTTGACCTGCCGCGATTTAGTAGCCCCAACTGTGTAAGATCAGGACGAAGACTGCTTGAGGATACCTAGGCGGCAAGCATCTATCGGGCTTTGTTCTTCTCATGCTCGTTTCTTGATGGCGTGTGAAATCTTGAGGGTTCTGTATACAATTTATTGTGGAATCTTAGTGCGGAGTGGTCTATCTTGGTGTGTTACCCACGAGCGTGTTCTTTGGGTGAGTCGTACCTGCCGAGTTCAATGAAAGCCACTACTTCTCCAAAGGTAACCGATCGAATTTTGTATACTTACTGCATTTTTTAAACATCATCATGCGCCATGGATGGATAGGATGACTCACATCGCTTACTTTACGACCAACTATTCACCACCGGATTGCGGACAGCGCTCTTTAGTATTGATAACTATTTTACCCTTCACACAGCTTATGGAAGCAGAATTGGAATTGTGAGAGCGTATTACAGCTCCAGCTTAACTTGAAGACCCTCCCTGATATACGACTATCCCTATTGCACGCGAATCGCTTGTTTTTCAAGTTCGTAATAAACAGATCGCACTAGACTAGTTTCATGTGTTCGTTGAAAGTGGACACCTTAGGAATTCTTGTTAGGACATGAGGTCTAATGGAATTGGGATGTTAGTTACTACAATGGAACAACAGAATAGATGCATACCACTCTCTGGATTGGTTAGCTGCCTGGAGACCTAACTCTATCGGCGTGTCCCACCAGCAGAGCCGGTGGTCTTTGCATGCGTGCACACTGAGCGGCTCATCCCGTAGGCCCAACGCTGCACTCTTCTGTTTGCGTATCGTCGTCCTATTTTGGGTGATTCACCCGCCCTTGTCCTTGACATGATAGCTACATGGCCACTGCATAAGTAAGCTCTGTCCTGCATAGCGACGTTTTATTGATCCAAGTAGACTGTAGTTCTACGGGATACTTTACCTTACTCACACACACCTTTTTAAATTGTGTTTTTAGAACTCTGCATCGTCCTGACTACCCTCTATGAACGGATTTCCTACGCTTTATTCTCTCCGGCTTTCGAATCATTCCGGGATGAACTCACTCCCGTCCTCATTGACCGTGCAACCCGTGCAGCTGGTTTGAAGTGTTTGTCTTTGCTCAAACGTCTGCTTTCTTTGTTGAGCCAAATGGAGGTCGAGGTAGAATGCAGTTGGGCTACGAAAGATGACTCTTTGCTGGGTTCCAACGAATTTTCTGTAGTCAATCCAGTGAATCGAGCAACTTGGAGATGCTTTCTCGGAACAGCGCATCTAGCTGCTTTCTGCAAGTAGGTTTTTATTTCCCGCAACTTGAATCTATCCGTCTATATTCACAAACGTTTTCCTGCGTTTGGTCTAGCACGTGCCTAATTTGCCTATTGGTGAGTAGCCACGATTGTTCCTAACTTTCCACTAGTCTCAGGAAGAATCTTACTTCTACCGAAGTACTTCAAAATCTTTTCACTGAGTGAAGCTTTTAGAATTCGTGTTCAATCGTTCGGACATATCTCGTGCTATCTATCCTTCGATTATCTGAATAGTCTACTGTTGTTTGGTGTTGCACCTGACACTGGGCATTTGATTTACTTAAATCGAAGCGAAACTCACCATTTTTTCCTCTATATGTTACATTCTTTTTCTTGTTTTCCCCCGTCTAATTCCATACGCACTGGCGGTACTTCAGCCGTCATGCCACCGAGTTGCATGGCGTTTCTGGAACGAAAAGATACCACACCTGGTTGATCACTTTATCGTCATTTTGTGTTATTTCCTTGGAGTCAACCGAATAGCGGTTTTTTTATTATGCACGAAATTGGTGTACATAACAAAGGAATACGCCACTATTCAAAATACAAACGTGAAGAGTGGGATACCCTGTCTCGAATCTGTTGCAAATTGGTCTTGAATAAACAGTCCTTTACCCTACATCCTAGTCTCATCATCGTTTGACCGGCAAACATATCCCAGGAACTTGAAAGACAATAGAGCGAGCTAATTGTCAACTCAATATACCTAACTGGTTCCTGCCTTTGCGGAGTGCTCGTTTTTCTATTGAAAAAAAAATGAGCAGCGAGATTTTTTTATGTCTATTTACAAAGTGCTCGGTGAAGTGGTTTGTACCCTTAGTCATTTCAAATGGCATCTATGTAAAAAAAATAACTTGTTGCCCCCCCCCCTTAAAGCGTTTTTTGTTAGTTTCAGGTCCTCGTTTTTTGTAGGATTAATTGGATATTTACCTGATCATGTAGTGGTTTTGCTTAGCGACATATCGCCACAACTACTAAGCCGTTTCTTTTTTATGACGTCTCGCTATTTTCCGGTATGATTCATGAGATGGGAGGACAGTAATCCTCAACAGACCCGATACGAATCCCATGCTGGAGCGTCCTGTTTGGTGTGCAACGTTGTAAGCCTGATTTCGCTCCATTCCCACATGCACACGCTGAATCGTCAAGCTTCATGTCGACTCCTCTAACAGAACCTCTCAACCTTTTTGTCCGTCCGTCATGTGCATTTTAACAAAAATCCGGTCCAATGTACTGTGATGTCTTAACCTGAAAAACAACATAAGTGAACACCTCTTGACTTCAATTGCGTTGTCACATAGGAATTCTCCAGCCTAGTTTTCGTTAACGCATCGGCTCTTTCCGAGTTCAGCGTCTGTGTTAGAGGGTGATAAAATTTCCGTTGTAAACCAAGTTAACACAAAACACTGTCACTACAAGTTGGAGTTTGGGTGATTCCCATATATAGGTCTATACTCGGAAAATATTATTGGCGCCTCCTTCTGTTGACCACTTTTTTTATCTAATTCCCAGTTCTTCCAGTGCCTCTATTGCCAGTCAAGTTTTGCATCGACTGTTTGGCGAGTGTTCATGCTCTTTGGACCCGTTGTTATCCAATAGTCATGCCTCGAATTCAATGGCTTCCTTGTCCACCATGCTACTCCCGTATTTCTCGGTGCGTAACACCGGTCGGAATACAACTAATTTCACCGAAGCTCAGCTAACTGTGCTACAACAGGTGAGGTTTATTTTTACATTCAGTTTTATGATTCACCACTTTGTTTTATAGTTTTTCATCGTCTCCAACTATTTCTGTTTCAGCTATCTGAATTGACGCGGACCGAGATCGTTCAGTTTGTAGTTGATCACGTGAAACTAACTGTATCTTCCTCGTCTGCTGAAGGCCTGGCCAGTGAACAAAACTGGCCTGTTCCCTTTATCCTTTGGCTATTAAGCTTGCCACTGACGCTCAGTCCTATCTACAAGGCCTTACAGCCGCTACTTCCAGTTTCGGTAAGTACGTCATGCAATTTTTCCCATGGTTTTATCTGCTGGTACGCGGTTCCACTCCAGTTTGAGGACGCCTGACCTTTCTGAAGATGTGTTGGATATTTTGCAGTTCCTCATACATGTTGTGACAACGTGCCTATTTCCTCTGTTACTCTCGCCTTAGCCCAGTTTATGTAAACAAATCTTCCCATGGCTGATATTGAGCGTCTTCACCGCAACCGATGAACTTTCTGCTAGCGTTAGCGAAGCTCTGAAACTCGGTCTAGCCGACGGTATTGCTTGGTCCCTGAAGCAGTCATCCGTGTGTAGATCAATCGAAGACCTCTGGATCGATTCCCTACTGGCCCTTCATACTTGGGAGCAATGGACTCGAACTAATAGGTAAATATTTTGATTCCTCGTTAGTGTATAATAAATACTTCATAAAACCTTTCGCAGCTATGCTGCATTATTGCGCTTCACAATTTAATTTCATCCATTTGTGGATCCGGTTTTAGCAATCGACCTACTCAGTCGTTCACCATCTTTCCGGCTTGGCTTGTCGCCGCCGACCGCGCGGTCGTTCTCAACCGTCCATATGCTGCACGCCTGTTTCTGGAACTTGCTTGGTTAAATGAGTAAGCAATCTCAAGATTGTGATATGCTTCATACTGACGAGTTTCACATAAGCCCAGAGTATCCACCTGCTTCATATTCTTCTAAACAACGCTTCCAACCGCCGCAGTTTTATTCGCGGGCGGGGGAAATAGGAATGATAAATATCTAGCTTGTGTGTTCTTTTCCGTACTTAGTGCTGCCGCCATCCGTTCGCATCATCTGTCTTTCAACATCCGTGTGCTTGCCCGCAGTTTGGCGGAATACGGCGTTCGTATGAACGTCTGGATTTTCACAGCACCCGATGAGTGTTTGATGTCGCTGATAATCCTTACATCTCTTGGGTGATGCCCCAAGTGTTTACGAAACGTTGTGTCTGCCGAAATGTATCAATGCTCTCGTTGCCTCTGGCTGACACAGCATCGGTGATCGGTCAAAAACTTCGTTAACCAGTGCAATCTCCACACTGGTGAAGCAATGACTTCTCCATTACTTTGCTTTCATGGAGACTGTGCATGCTATTGCCACCTTGTTAGCATCATTCCTCAGAATTGGCAGTTTTTCAGGCGAATTTGCTGACCCTTAGTTGGGAGCATTTTATCTATGCAGTCTGACCTGGATTCATCCAACACCGTCCAGTCGCACCAAACACAACATAAGGTCCATTCGACTCTATTTTTTGTTGCCTGTGGCATCGCATCTCGCTCAGTCACTGAACCTTCATCAACAAAGTTGTCACTACACAATTCGTACTACAATCCCACCAAATGTCTAGTGCTATCATCGAGCCTCGTCACCTCGTAAAGAAAGATTTTCCCGGCACTTCAGCGACCTTTTCGACCAACACTCCGTTCACCTGCGACTAATGATTAAAATTTTAGTGGAATGACTAGAATATGTCTATCCAGCGGGTGACACCCGTGACGCAAAACCAGCCGGCCTAATGACCAGCTAAGAGGTTCACAGAACAACTCACTTCTCATTTTCGGCATAGTTTCTCGCCTTGTGCACAGCCGACCAGTAAGCGATGAAGTGGTGGTGACATATCAGACTATTTTCTACTGTTCATCATGCATGACTGCCGCTGAAGCTCCACCGACCCGGTCTGTGCTTTGTGCCTCTGGCATGTTGTGTCTGTCGGGTTCAGCGTAACAACAAAATACTCCGCAAATTCGTCGAGCAGATTAACGCTTCTTATCACACTGGACTATATTTAGACGTGACGATGTACTTCATTTCTGAGGTTGCCAGTGGGGAAAGCAGAGAGGTGGCCAATCTTTGACCTGATAGAGGGGTATGAAAGCTCACGAAATTTTTGGGTGCTGGTGGTGCTACTCGCCTTCCAGGATGGGAACCGCATGATCCTCACTGCACCTGGTTGAGTACACTGCAAGGTATGGCTGCTAATGGATGTTAATTACGTTCTTGTTGTCAGTTTCTATCTGGGTTGCCTGAATGAGTATTTAGAGGTACAGGTACCTCGGAATGGTTGTAGGAAGCTAGCACTAAATCCGTTTCCGTCCACGTCCACTTTTATCTTTTCCTTCAGAGTAAGGTTCTCAAATACATCATGGTTGTACTGTCGCGAATTATCACTGTTGGAAACTGATATCATGCCGTCGGTGATGATGATGAGTTTGTCAGTTCCTCATGCCATACGTGTCGATTCCGTGGAGAACGTAAGAGATGGGTATTTCCCCTAGCATACGTAATTCACTACAGAGGCGATCATCCACATCTGTTCGTTGATTCAAAGCAGCGAAATAAGTGTCATATTGAGGGCTACGGCCAATCCGCCCTGCTGAGAACTGAGTAGTAACGCAGACAGACCCATCTGCCTTGATAGATCATCCATTCAAGAAAGTCTCACCTCTAGGACTCCATTCAATTTTTTCGATTCCAGTGTTTTTATCGAACTATACTAATTTGCGTATTCATTTGGTTTTCATGGGGGACTCAGCCGAATCTCTTATAATGCCCTTCTTTGAAGGGCTTTCAGCAACTTCATGAGTGTGTTCGCAGCTTTTACGGGTGAACCGTGGACAGGCCAAGTCGTCCCTAGTTTGTTGCCCACCATTATTAGGTTGTGTCCGAGATGGCTCGGCGGTTGAGGTGCGAAACGACTAACTGACAAGATCCGCGGTCTGAACCCGACTTTGGCTTCCCGGTTGCTTTTACCTAGGTTTAGACAGCCAGGCAGTATCTCAGCCCTCATGTCCCCTTCTAATTGTGACGCAGCTATATACCGAAAGTCACAGCTGAACAACTACTCTTTTTTACTTGGGCCACTGAATATGAAATATCATTCCTAATTTTTTCAACCGATAAACGAGAAATGATCTCCTTAAACAATGTTGACTCATTTATTGTGCCCGCTGCTCTGACACTCAGTGGTTCTCCACCCGAATGGATAACGTCACATTCAACTCGACGGCGGGTTTGGCTGGGCATATGCCGTCTTTTCGCCGACTTACCTGGACTGCGTACCGCCCAAATCGCTTTCCTCGCCCCTTGTCAGTCAACGGACGACTGCGAAGTTCAAGCACTTGCCTCTGATCCCACTGCGCACCCAATGTTTAAGGAAACAAGGTATGTTTGTTGAAGTGGATTATTCTGTTGTTGCAAGCTCAATGTCTTCTGTTTTGTCCCGAGTGTGGTANCATACTGACGAGTTTCACATAAGCCCAGAATATCCACCTGTTTCATATTCTTCTAAATAATGCTTCCAACCGCCGCAATTTTATTCATGGGCGGGGGAAATAGGAATAATAAATACCTAGCTTGTGTGTTCTTTTCCGTACTTAGTGCTGCCCGCCATCCGTTCGCATCATCTATCTTTCAACATCCGTGTGCTCGCCCGCAGTTTGGCGGAATACGGCGTTCGTATGAACGTCAGGATTTTCACTCACACCAATGGGCGTTTGATGTCGTTGATCTTTACATCTCTTCGGTGACGTCTCAAGTCTTTACGAAACGCTGTGTCTGCCGAAATGTATCAAAGCTCTCGTTGCCTCTGACTCACACAGCATCGGTGATCGGTCAAAAACTCCGGTAACCGGTGCAATCCCCACAGTGGCGAATCAGTGACTTCTCTATTACTTTGCTGTCATGGAGTTTGTGCGCGCTATTGTCACTTTGGTAGCATCAACCCTCAAAATTGGCAGTTTTTTGGCGAATTTCCTTACCCTCAATTGGAAGTGTTTTGTCTTTGCCATAGATCTTCGAACAGTCTGACTTGGATTCATCCAACACCGTCCAGTCGCGCCAAACACGACTCCACTTTTTTGTTGCCTCTGGCATCCCATCTCGCTCAGTCGCTGAATTGTCATCACCTCCATCAACAAAGTTGTTACTACACAGTTCGTACGACAACCCCAGCAAATGTTTATTGCTATCATCGAGCATAAGCCCAGAATATCCACCTGTTTCATATTCTTCTAAATAATGCTTCCAACCGCCGCAATTTTATTCATGGGCGGGGGAAATAGGAATAATAAATACCTAGCTTGTGTGTTCTTTTCCGTACTTAGTGCTGCCCGCCATCCGTTCGCATCATCTATCTTTCAACATCCGTGTGCTCGCCCGCAGTTTGGCGGAATACGGCGTTCGTATGAACGTCAGGATTTTCACACCATCCAATGGGCGTTTGATGTCGTTGATCTTTACATCTCTTCGGTGACGTCTCAAGTCTTTACGAAACGCTGTGTCTGCCGAAATGTATCAAAGCTCTCGTTGCCTCTGACTGACACAGCATCGGTGATCGGTCAAAAACTCCGGTAACCGGTGCAATCCCCACAGTGGCGAATCAGTGACTTCTCTATTACTTTGCTGTCATGGAGTTTGTGCGCGCTATTGTCACTTTGGTAGCATCAACCCTCAAAATTGGCAGTTTTTTGGCGAATTTCCTTACCCTCAATTGGAAGTGTTTTGTCTTTGCCATAGATCTTCGAACAGTCTGACTTGGATTCATCCAACACCGTCCAGTCGCGCCAAACACGACTCCACTTTTTTGTTGCCTCTGGCATCCCATCTCGCTCAGTCGCTGAATTGTCATCACCTCCATCAACAAAGTTGTTACTACACAGTTCGTACGACAACCCCAGCAAATGTTTATTGCTATCATCGAGCCTCGTCACCTCGTAAACATCACCTCCACAAAGTTGTTACTACACAGTTCGTACCACAACCCCAGCAAATGTTTAATGCTATCATCGAGCATCGTCACCTCCTAAAGAAAGAAGTAAGCGATGAAGTGGTGGTGACATATCAGACTATTTTCTGCTGTTCATCACATCATGCATCCGCTGAAGCTCCACCGACCCGGTCTGTGCTTTGTGCCTCTGGCATGTTGTGTCTGTCGGGTTCAGCGTAGCAACAAAATAAAATACAAATTCGTCGAGCAGATTAACGCTTCTTATCACACTGGACTATATTTAGACGTGACGATGTACTTCATTTCTGAGGTTGCCAGTGGGGAAAGCAGAGAGGTGGCCAATCTTTGACCTGATAGAGGGGTATGAAAGCTCACGAAATTTTTGGGTGCTGGTGGTGCTACTCGCCTTCCAGGATGGGAACCGCATGATCCTCACTGCGCCTGGTTGAGTACACTGCAAGGTATGGCTGCTAATGGATGTTAATTGCGTTCTTGTCAGTTTCTATCTGGGTTGCCTGAATGAGTATCTGGAGGTGTAGGCACTTCGGAATGATTGTAGTAGGCTAGCACCAAGTTCCTTCCCCGTGCACCTTTATTCTTTTCTTCACAATAAGGCTTTCAACTAAATCGTGTTTATACGGTGACGAAGCATCGGGGTTGAACACCGATGTCAAGCTCTCGATGGTGATGAAGTGCCAAGGTATGGCAGACATGCAGGTGCGTATTTTGAGACTTGAATTTGAAGTTGCCATACATTGGCGCTTGTATCGGAGAATCCAACCGCAATAGTCAATATGTCGCTTATATTTCTAGGCCCATCGTTTGCAAAAGTTCACTAGAACGAATAGGAATGTATTTCTGTTCGTACTCTATCACGAGAAGGACGGTAATGTATCTTCGATTTGCATCCATATGGCTGTGTTTGCTAGCCTCATGAGGGCGCTCGTGATCTTTGATCAAAAAGTCACATACGGCATTAGACGTAATTTACTGTCGATCACACCCCGTAACCATTGTTCACAGAATCTGGTCTCTCCGGGTCTGAAAAGTGCGAAATATATAGATTGTCAGGGTTCCTCAAATCTGGTTCGAAATGGTACAAGCAAGTTCAAAAGGGAAGGTTTCATCTAAACCAGATCAGGACACCTAGCAGCATGACAGTTACTCACCCGTCGGATTTTATTTGAAGCTAATGATAACGAAGGTAGAAGGAAAGCAAACGCAGAAAACTAGATGCGCGAATTTCATACTTCCACCTCAGTTTTCTGAAGCCATGTTTCTTCGCAATGATGCTGATTTCGCCATTGCCCCAAAGACCGTTTCCAATTTTTTTATGATACATCTTGGTCAAAAAATAGTACTGAAATGTGCCTCAAGCTCTCTTCATACTCTGCATAGAGTACAACAGTTGTACTCTTGCAGGGCGCTGTTCGGTTTGCCTCTAACACCGAGCACGACGTTCGGATAGTCCTCCGTTCGAATATGTGCTATCTATAGGTCTATGTGAAGTGAGGACAAAAGTTTAGCCCCTTCCCTTAACTTATCGAAAATACTTTTGTGATACACATAGAATAGTGCGAACTACTCACTTGTGCTTTGTCCGGAATGTTTCCACTTGGTAGTACACATCAACATCTTGCATCTGGCAAAAACATTCGAAAATTGGAAAGGGAAATTGGAATTAACTCTGCACTGGCAAGCTTTCACTAGCCTTATTAACAGAATATATTGTGTGGAAGAAGGCTAAACTTTTTAAGGTCCTCAGCTCAAATCTCCCAGGATAACTATGGCATTTGTCACAAACCTATCCAGTTCTTATCTGTTCTGTATGTTTCAAGTTACTCAGCGGCACAGTGTCAGCCAGTCTTCTCGCTCTTGCCTTGCATCTTATCCATTTACGCAGCACCTTTTTCACCGTTTGCTCTTTTCAGTGTCGCTGTGAACGAACTTTGTAACAACTGGGACAGGTTGCTCGGTTGGTACGATTGTTCGCTTCCGAGTTCTTCGTCGGCCAGACTCAATTTGGCTGCATGCCTTCACCGAATGGCTGCATACAATCTGGCCCAGTGCGTTTTCGACGAAAGTATACATGAGCCGACACTTGAGTCTGCAGGTGATATCCTAACAACACGAAGTGAGTTTTCACTAGTGCTCAATGGTTTGATGTTGCCTCTGCTATTTCACTGGTCGCCTTTATCTTTGGTAACTTCCTGGTGCGACCATAACACCAGTTTGACCGTAACAGCTAAGTAATAATCTTGTGGGGACAGGATGGTTTGTTCTAGGGACCCAACGGGTGTCGTTGTGTATTAGGGTAGACGTGATATGTTGATGAAAACTGTTGGATAACGGAATAAATCCTACATAGACGCGTCAGCACGGCGTCCAGTATCGTGAACGTGGTAGAATGAATGAAGTACCGATCTGCTGATGTTGTCTAGAACTTCGGAACTACAAAATTTCATATTAATGACATCATATCAACACAGCAAACTTTCTTTTCACAAACCCAATACGAAATATCCGGCCTTATTCCGAGCAGCGTTTAGATCATAAAAATATAAATTTCTCTAATCGCTTTGGGAAAACTGTCTTACATTTGACCTGACAAAGCATTCTTGTCCATCCATCATAGATGTTTCTTTTTCAGCTTGTATTTTCACTAACGTTTAAACCAGTCCATCGTGACGTTGTCCTCGCTCGTACAATTAGTTGGTGCAGCTTGTCTACCTCATTATCTCCCCCCCCCCGCATCTTTACTGTTCCCGTTAACAATCAACTTCACCTAACCCCCCCTATCCATCTCTCTCTTTATAGGTAGCTCTAGCAAATACTTTTCTCAGCTCCAAGAACTCAGAGCAGCAACTGCCTGGCGTTTGGGTCATTGGAGTAGTTCTGCCACCAAAGCTGTTGGTCCACCTCCCACCAGTTGGTCAGAATGCGGTATGGAGACAAGCTTCTACTGGATTGTTGAAGCTATCCAGCGACACGACTGGGCTCAGGTTGAGACTATCGCTTCATCTCTATGGTAGGTTGTTGAGCGTTTTAATTATGCTTGCTCCCTCGATTCACATTAGTTTATCGGCCGTGCCAAAAGTAGCTTTGATCCTTGGTCCTTTCAGCTTTTTATCCGTTTGGGTATTACCGCTCAGATTAATGATATTTTCTACGTCTTCGCTCCAGGCAAGGTTTACTGGATGATCTGAACAAGCAGCTCTCCACCAGCTTCGACCTTTTTCATGAAATCTCCAGCAGTAGTCAACAGATCAGCTGTTTGGAGCGCTTTGCTGAAGTGGCACGATCATTGAGCGTAAACGGACTACCTGAGGCTCTTCTGCAGTGGTTGAACGGACTCTTTAATGAAATCTCCCACATGGTCGATTCGGTTGCTTCACAGTCATCCTTGGTCGATTCGCTCATTGCCACTGGCTCTTTGGAACCCCTTGAACCGTTTTTAACTTCATCTTTACGCTTGGTGTCTGCATTGCTGATGCAACTTTCCAATCGCAGTGAAACACCCATTACCAGAAGCCGCGCATTTGGACTGTTAGAGCATACTTATTTCGAAGCAGCCGAAAGTGCTCTAATGACAGGCGAATTACGTTTGGTCGATCACTGGCTTCAAGATGTGGCATTGTATCGGGCGATGGCCACAAACCCTGAATCACGTCAGCCCTCCGATTGTGAACAAACTCTGCTGGTTTCACAAGCATGGCGAGAATTGCGTTCAGCTGAACTAGTGGCACAGCTCAGTTTCTATCGGGGGGAGAAGCATATCTCCGTCAGTCACCTCTACACCGGCCTGGAAACAGCAATGCATGTGAGTATCTACTACCGTGTCCCCTTCAAAATTGAACGTCCTCAACTTGAAATGCTGCGTTTTTCCTTTATCATAGAGTCAATCGAATGCCTGGAGCCACATCAGTTTCTGGAGTATATATGTATTTCTATATAATATCATCAGTTTCAGATAGAGAGGGGCCACATGCTGGTTAGGCAGACTGTTTGCTTTCCCTGCATCGCATGGACCGATGATGTGGTAATCTGACCAAAGAAGAATCACATGGCGAAATGATTTTTGGGGCTGGTCTTTTTTCGGTGCGAAGCTAATCAAATCACGGCTGATGGATAGTACCGTTGTGGTCCCCTAATGAGAGTTGAGTGGGGAATACCGTTTACGAAACCTTTCAGTGTTTGACCATTAGTGCCTCTGAACTATTGATCAGGTCCGGTAGGAACATCAGATCACTCTACAAAATCTCCCCCACCTCTACACACACACACACACACATCGTCTTTCTTGAAATTCTTTAAGCCAGAATATGTGCAGGTTAGCTGAGTACACTACGCGAAGCCTACATAAAAGCTCATGTCATACTTGACTCGCAATATGCCGATCGTAGTTGACGCTTACATTGGTGTCCATTCGGCTCCTTATTGTGCCATCGATCACTCACGATGTACCGTGATCCCTATACTCTATTGAGGCTTGTGGTTAACGGACCCGCATTTGACTTTATTAGAGCAGAATCGAATCCAGCTTTCAGGTGTCCTAGTGAGAAACAGAGAACCCAACTCACCCACATTTCGGTTCTGTCAGCAATCTGAGACGAATCAGCAAAGCGTTCTACTAAATTAATTCTGCGAGATCTGATCGTCCTACCTTAGCGTCGCAGCACTACAATACAAGTTTTGGTCTTTGAAGGCTCTCCCAAAAAAGACGATAATATAATGAGTTTATTCGCCCAAGTTGCTGGTCCCAGCCAGAGTTTCACTGCTTTAGCTGTGAACCAAGTAATGGGTAAACAGTTCCGGGCGATGTTTAACTGAGGGACACTACTAATGGTGTAAACGCGGTGCATAATCGTACGTACGTAGATCCATTCCGAGAGTGCATACCTCAGCTTTATCACCTTAACTTACTATACAGTTGTTTCCCTCCAGGTGGACTGTCTGTCCTTCGAGTGGCTTGGTCGCTGACATGGATAACCCGAAACCGGCCTCTTCTGAAACATAATCACTCCAGAAGGAAACGTTTGTATTTGTGGTGTTCATTACTATTTTTCACGAAGTGAACCGACGGAGAGCTTTATCGTCCATGTGGGTCGCAACCAAAATGACAGCTGCTCGTGATCGGTTTATCTATTAGTACATAGTTTTGCCCTTTCCTGACAGATAACGTTATTTAGGCTATGGTGAGACAATTACCTTGGTCGCACCGAACTGGATTTTTGGATGCAAATCGCCGTGAAGCTATTGAAATACACTCATTTGCATACCAATTTGGTTTGCCCGCGAGACTCACCTGAATCCCGGCTGAATCCCTCGTTTATGATGTTGAATGTTTTTTATTGGTCATTGTTCATCAGGGATCATGTCTTGTTGACTACTGGGTCCGATTATTTGTTCACTAGATGGAAAAGCGACTTACCTATGTCTTAATGCACTTCCTCTCCCGAGGATGCACTATCGCATAAAGATAGCCCTCGAATGACATGTATTGAGTAATAAAATAAAAATGGTCATTATTTTTCACTATCCTGATGTTTGGTAACCTGTCCTAAAAATGTGTTTCCGGCTTTGGTGCAGTTTGAAAACCGTGAGAAGCACGTATGATGTTGACCTCTGTCTCTCATGCAAAGTTCGCAGTCCATGGAGATTCATTTTCCCGCAATACTTGATCCATGTGGTTTCAACTCACCGCTTATTTGTTCTAGATCTCCGGAATAACTGTAGTTTATCTCCATAGAGTTGGACGGCTCGAGGCATTTCCATTGACTAGAGAAACGCGAAACCCACTATCCAAGACTAAACAGTTTTGGGGCATTCTCACTTCCATGGGGGTACAAATTCACTTGGGATAAACATGCTGTTTTAGTACCTATATAAAAATGTACCAGGCCCACCTGGAAGGCACTGTTTTTGCAAACTGACATTGGTTATTGGTTCGCTATTTTCGCCTTTCAAACATCGATACCGACTGATAACTCGCTATTTTCTTTGTTTTCTTTTATTATTAGGTTCTGAATCGGCCTCTGGAACACTGTGCCCTTCTGGTTCGCCGTGGTTTCATTGGTGCTTATATGCACTGTGTCACCACTTTGTGCAGTTGGCTATTTGCGTCCCGTTCAAAAAGTGCGGGAGATCTACTGACTAACTATCTGGAACCGGTGAGTCATGGAGGTATTTTTATCTTCTGGCTACTCTTTCTAATTTCCAATGCTTGTGTTTGGTTGTATCATTTAAAGTATTCTTCTGACATCTAATCTACGCTTACCTCCAACGAATGCGTGGTCCGCATAGAAAAGTCGTTCAAGTAGTCCACAGACATTTGTAAGTCCGACAAATTGCTCGCAGTCTCTTTCACGCGTTTTCTATTCGTCATAAACTGCATATGCCGTTATAGGCACATCGTAGACCTGAATTACTTATCTGCTATCCTTTGAAGCTGCTGGATATTGTAAGGTTTGATATTATGGCATCAAACACATCCACCCGTTCCTATCACTCTTTGATTATTCCATCTTGTAAAGCGTTGATTGTCGCTAGCGACTTTGAAACAAGTATAAAGAAAGAACGAGATTCTATGCTCATAACTACGTGCCGATTGGAAGCGACCGAGAGGCAAACAATGTATGACTTGGAAACAAAGTATAAAAACACTCATCAGTAAACAGTAAGTTTTCTTCTTCCTAGATGGGGATCCAGAGACTCAACTTGCCAGTGATTGATGGCACTGGCAGAAATGGCCCAATCGCGCAGTCAGTGGTGCTCGTGCATCAAAGCTGTCGCCTTCACTGTGTAGTTACCCAGTTCCCGAACTAACTAAACATGTCATCGCCTACATGACTTGGTTGTATGTCCCACACTCTCCCACTTTCCCGTAGTCGAAATTGTAACAGCTGGTGCCAGTCCACCCATGGTGCACGGTTTAGCTGAAAAATCGATTGATTGATTGATTGATTGATTGATTGATTGATGATTCATTTTCCCGCAATACTTGATCCATGTGGTTTCAACTCACCGCTTATTTGTTCTAGATCTCCGGAATAACTGTAGTTTATCTCCATAGAGTTGGACGGCTCGAGGCATTTCCATTGACTAGAGAAACGCGAAACCCACTATCCAAGACTAAACAGTTTTGGGGCATTCTCACTTCCATGGGGGTACAAATTCACTTGGGATAAACATGCTGTTTTAGTACCTATATAAAAATGTACCAGGCCCACCTGGAAGGCACTGTTTTTGCAAACTGACATTGGTTATTGGTTCGCTATTTTCGCCTTTCAAACATCGATACCGACTGATAACTCGCTATTTTCTTTGTTTTCTTTTATTATTAGGTTCTGAATCGGCCTCTGGAACACTGTGCCCTTCTGGTTCGCCGTGGTTTCATTGGTGCTTATATGCACTGTGTCACCACTTTGTGCAGTTGGCTATTTGCGTCCCGTTCAAAAAGTGCGGGAGATCTACTGACTAACTATCTGGAACCGGTGAGTCATGGAGGTATTTTTATCTTCTGGCTACTCTTTCTAATTTCCAATGCTTGTGTTTGGTTGTATCATTTAAAGTATTCTTCTGACATCTAATCTACGCTTACCTCCAACGAATGCGTGGTCCGCATAGAAAAGTCGTTCAAGTAGTCCACAGACATTTGTAAGTCCGACAAATTGCTCGCAGTCTCTTTCACGCGTTTTCTATTCGTCATAAACTGCATATGCCGTTATAGGCACATCGTAGACCTGAATTACTTATCTGCTATCCTTTGAAGCTGCTGGATATTGTAAGGTTTGATATTATGGCATCAAACACATCCACCCGTTCCTATCACTCTTTGATTATTCCATCTTGTAAAGCGTTGATTGTCGCTAGCGACTTTGAAACAAGTATAAAGAAAGAACGAGATTCTATGCTCATAACTACGTGCCGATTGGAAGCGACCGAGAGGCAAACAATGTATGACTTGGAAACAAAGTATAAAAACACTCATCAGTAAACAGTAAGTTTTCTTCTTCCTAGATGGGGATCCAGAGACTCAACTTGCCAGTGATTGATGGCACTGGCAGAAATGGCCCAATCGCGCAGTCAGTGGTGCTCGTGCATCAAAGCTGTCGCCTTCACTGTGTAGTTACCCAGTTCCCGAACTAACCAAACATGTCATCGCCTACATGACTTGGTTGTATGTCCCACACTCTCCCACTTTCCCGTAGTCGAAATTGTAACAGCTGGTGCCAGTCCACCCATGGTGCACGGTTTAGCTGAAAAATCGATTGATTGATTGATTGATTGATTGATTGAAAGACTCCAGGTCTTTTCTGGTGATTGGCAATCCAAAGCATACACGATGCAGCTGGCGCACAAGAAATGTTTGCTTGTATGTATTCTGCGCTGTTTTCACGACTCCCTTTAGAAGTATTCGAACTCTCAGATAATCGAATTAAAGGTCTTCAAGTGTTTATATGATTCACTCTCGTATTTGCCACAATACACAATCCCTCTTTTATTATGACACTGAAGGCAATGACCATGGCAAGACGTTGGGAAGCTACAGTTGATCCGGAAGCGCTGGCGAATTTGGCCCAGTTTGCAGATTCGCAGTTCACCACTCTTGACTCCTATCTAGCGTCTCCTGAGTTCGCCACTCGTCGGCAGTTGTTGACTGAAGCTCAACGTGACGTGGAATGCTTAACAGACCTGGGGGAGAAGAGGTGAGCTGCCTAGTTTTTATTCACTAGCAGGTTCGTACTCTATTTACATTATCTCCTTGCTCTTATGTTCTGCCTTCCCGTGCTATAATAGTTGCTTTTCCTGTCGTCTGTGTTGCATGCAGAAGCTGATCGCCTCATGTCTATTTTACTACCCTTAATGGATACTAATCTGTTCTTTTCCGATGGTTTTGATATATTCTGTTTGCATTGTTTGGGTTTTTTAGCCGCCTTCTCCGGATTCTCCAACGCCAATCTGCTCTTGAAGTGGAAGAACTGGAAGCGTTCACATCAGATGCCGACCGCTACCTCGAAGCTTCCCTTGATGCGTATGCCCAGTGCCTGGCTTTGTCAGATTCGCATGATCTACAAGTAGGATAATCCATCAATGTTTTGTAAACCGAAAGATCAATCATCTTGTTACTGAACTCTTTTTTTGTTTACCTTTACTTCTGAATATGAGCACTTCAACTACTCATGAGTTTGGTTCCCTCTAGTCTTGTATTTCCACCTGTTTGGAGCTAGCACACACGATCTAGATATCCCAGAAACTGTGACAGAAGTCAATTCTTGTCGCGCTAGGGTGCCCGATTCATATACGGGCGTCCGTTTTCTGTAGAAATACAGGTGTCCAACGCGCTGCTGCGTTGGAAATACGCTGCTAGTAATCTCTGACCAACCCTCTGCAAGCAGCTCAGCTTTGTCGTTCGGTTGCCCAGTTAAGGTTGTCGATCAGTGATAAACCGGCCGGTGAACAATTAAGCCTTCAATTACCTGTGGTAAGCAGTTTATTACGCCGTCCGGGAAATGGCCTTTTGAGACCCGTCACTCCGTTTCTCTGTGTTTGGTTGTACCTCTTTTTGTTTAGACGACTCTGTGACTGTGTGTACACTAAAGAATAGTTCAGAAGAACCTATTGTCAGCAGCTTCCTGGTTCTAATATTCTACTTTGTGCTTCAAGCTTTTACAACGGGCCACCGTTTCCCTCATACATCATTTCTGTCTTTTCACCAACGTTGACTATTTGCTTTTATCGTTGTACATATGGTCGTTTCCCAACATCTCACTCAAAGCTCCAGAGACAGTCAAAATCTTGTGTTTATAGCTCCGATTTGACAAACTTTAGTCAAGCTGATCCTCATATGCAATTTATCGCCGCAGCCTTTGTTTATTTAGGAGCGTTCGCGCAGTGTATTCCATCCTCTTACCTCACCAGTTGACCATGCTCTTGTGATCGATTGCGGATGATTGAATCAGCTGTCCAGACTTAGTCATCAGGTTTCCCAAACTGGGTTGGGTTTTGCCTAATTTATTCCTGTACTTTCGCACATCTGGGTTCTTTTGAACAAGGCGTTGTTCTTACTGGCATTTCCTAAAATTTGAACGGAATACCAGGGTAGCCAAGTTCAGCTAGCAGATTTGGACCAATCGAGGACTAATCTACTCCGGCCACAAACAGACTTACACCTTGTTCCCGGTGCCGGCTGGTACTTCTCAAACCTAAACAGCAGTGAGATACCAAAGTTCCGTTTGCGAAAGCTATGGCAAATGGTAAAATAGGACAGCTTACCCCTTTTTCATTAGCTATCGACTTTCGAAAACCGTCGGTTATGTAGAGCCTCGCGAGTCTGTTTGGCCAATCCTCCTTAGGAACTAGAACCCGGCCTTGTACATTCTTGGTCTCCCCATACCACTAATTCACGAAATTTACTACGTCGTCTGGAACGTATTAGGTGTATGATTGTCATTAGCTATAGTTGTTTGCGCATGGTAGTTCCGTGGTTCGAACCCGACCTCTGCATCTCGATTTCCCATGTCTAGGCTTGGGCAACCTGGCAGCATCCCAGCCCTCGTGCTTCCTTCTGGTGGCATGGTAGTTAGGCACCAAAAGAGTGCTACAGCTGAACCTTACCGCATGATGCGTACTCTCAGTAAGCATAACTCATATGGTTATCAAAACTCGGTATTGCGCTCATAAATATCCCTCTTGCCGGATCACCACTTGCCACCAGTATCTATATGGCTAGCTGTGATCTAAACAATGTCTTACATTCTTTGCTTTCATAGCCTCGGCTGATGTACGCACATATTTATTCTCCAGATCTACCGGCTAATATCTCTGTGGTTTTCGGCTGCTGCTGACCCTTCCGTGCAGTCCTGTCCAAACGCGAGAGCTCGAATGGTCAATCGGATAATGGCTGAACGGCTATCGGCAATCCGGTCGGATAAATTCTTACCTCTTATCCCACAACTTGCTGTGCGCCTTTCCTGTGCCTTTTTGAGTAACACCGAGGCGTCTGTGGGTTTTCAGACAACACTAACTGAGGTGAGTTTTGACAATACTTGACATGAGGTGAAATAGTCTGTTGGATCAGTTCATATAGCTTTCATCACCCCGGGAGCTGACACCAGTTGGCCGTATCGAAATTATTCTCTGTGAGGAGCTTCTTCGAGGATTATGTTTAACAGACATGTCACACTAGCAACCGATTTAAACACATGCTACAGTGCGCTAGGAAGCGCAAAACAAACGAATGGAAAAACAAATCGTTTCACACCGTTCAACGGAAGGGAAACAGGAGACTGTCGTGTCTAGACGTTTCAGAGGTTTAACCTACGACCTTGGAAAAGTCACACATTCGTTCTAAAACATCAGAGGTCTGGATCAGACGACACAACAGAACAACCAGCACTTCCTCACAGTCATTTGCGTGAGTCAAGGGCTTTGATTAAGTACCCTAATCATCCTCGCATCTGGTTTTTAGCGTAGTTTCTCAACTCATGAATTACACAAACAAAAGTACCCTCATTTCACACCTGTCGTCAAGTATCAGCGGAGTCATTTTATTCGCTGTACCCAGCATGGAGAGTATGAAAAAACATTCGATTGCTGACAAGTCTAGTCTTTATTCATGTTTCTATCATAACTACCCTCATGTTTCACGTAGTAATCACTCTTCTGTGAATTACAGTTGTGAGCGCTTCAGTTAGGCATCCAGAAAAATGAACAGTTGTACACCACCGCCAACGTCTCTTGCTTCGCACTCGCCATCTCGTCTTTATTGCGACCCTTAGACTCCCTAACATCGAGTAATTTGCCAGCAAGCTGGTCCTGTGCGCACTTTGGTTATTTTATCGATTAACGCTTACCACTACCTCAAATTCGAATATGTGATTCGCGTTCAATAACTCCTCTTACGACATCTCCGCTCTCAATACACTTTTGATGATAAACTTTGAGTGATTTTGCAGCTGCTGCAGTGAGTTGCGCCGGTGTCGGAATGGCTCTCACTTCACGAGCGAAGGCTTCTCTCCTCATTTGGGTACCCATAAACAGTCGAATCTGTCTTAACTGACTGTCCATCTCCATTGGGAACTGGCGCTCGTCGAGATACTTACTTCGACTCGATCCAAAACGAACTAACCACTGTTTAGTTCACCACTGACAGTTCATACATACCCATAATCGTCCGGGGCTACGGTGCACCAGTGATAATATCAGGTCACCTTTGGCATGTCTCTGTGGTATATTTGGCTTAGTTTCTTTTACAACTAGAACCGTTGTGCTATCTGGCTCCCCCTCCCCCAGTACTGAGCTCTCATGAAGCCACATCGATCGCATCACGCTCAGCTATCAACGAGAAGGGTCACTTCTTGACTGCCGGTCATTCTGGGATACACACGTTGATTCAGGTCATATCCTTGTGTTGCGTAGGTTTTAATTAAATTTCTCCTATAAATTTAAGGAACGAATCTATCATTTGGTTGTATACAAGCTCTGTGGTTCATGAGTAAAAATGAACCTACTGAAGTTCACTATGGAACACCGTCCCGACCTAAAGCTGCCACCTTGACGTGGTAGTCGGTCTTGAGTGCTGCAATGATCCAGCAGCCTACACTGGCTGGAACTTCGTTCCACA